ATTTTGCTGATTATGATTGTGAGCAATCAAATCAAATAGCTAGTTAAAAACCAATCAGATGTTTGCCAATCACTCGTTAACCCCGCTGCTGCAAGCAGTAGGCCGATTGAAAATTTCGGAACTAAATCAAAACGTCATTGCGCGGAAATGCGTCCAGACGGGTGAATACGCCCGCCAAATTAGACTACTACCCGACTGGCAAGCGGAAATCCGAAACAAAAATCAAATTGACTTCCTTCCTGCCACCAAAATTCCAAAACTCTATTTCACTACAAAAAAATATCAAAAAATAGAAGAAAACTTACACAGTAATGAAGAAATAAAATCCTTGTCAGTGGACTAAATTGTGGCTTTTAGTAGGCTTCTGAAAGTTAACTTTGAAGAAATGAAACCACAGAGCTTTCCGGCGACCACAAAGCAAAAGTTTCGAGTGCAGAAAATAGAAAACAATCGCGGAAACTTCTGATAAACTTCAGAAAAGTCATATGTGGGACTTCTATCTCTTCGTAGATAAATACTTGTGTTGCGGGCTATTGTGACTGTTGTGTGGCACTTACTGCCCCGACAAGACAGCGATATATATTTTTATAGCAAACATTTCCAGTACACAAGTCGCATTAGCAAATATTTATACGACTTCTTTGCGCTCGTAATACATACGCCTACAAACTGCAACATATTCAAAATAGAACGCGGTACAAATTGAATTATACACAAACACAAAACGCATAAAACAACAACAACAACAGAAGAGTGGTCGGGTTTACGGCCTGCTTCAGGAATTGTTTAGTCTAAAAGTCTAAAGGAATAATGAAATTGGCTTTGTTTTAGCCATCGTGAATTGGGCGTTATTCACGAATCGGACGGAAGCGCATGGCGTAGCAGGTATCGTTAACCTAAATTTCGCGCAGTTTTCAATTCAATTCCGGCGTTCGAACGATTTCAATCGCATTCGCAAAAGTAAATTTCCCAGCGACGGCGACGGCGCGAAATTTATGCGCACACAGTTCATCTAAGAAGCTTAATTCACATCGGAAGGGTCTTTCAATACCCAACTACCTATCTTATAAAGCGTAGATATCAAAAGTTTGTAAACCAAAAGGAAAAAGAAAACTTAAACCTTTTTATATTCGAAAAGATTGAAAAGATGTAAATTTTGTTTGGCGCTGATTTTTAAATTCAGAAAGGAGAAATTCACATGTGTGGTGAAAAGGTGTGAAAAAGTGCTTGGCGATATCCTCACCGAAAAAACTTCCGGTTAATTACATTTCCAATTCCGACCCAGGAGCGCCACTTTCACGAAAATGCAATTCTGAATCATTTATTACTTCCGCAAATTCTATTTTTGTCTAACCCAATTTCTATTTTAATTAATTCACTTATATCTTTAAAAACAACCTTTTTATCATTTTTTTCCCTTTTAAGCTACAAATTTCACAAAAATGCAAGTTTAAACCATTTACTACTTCCGCAAATTCTATTTTTGTATGAATCAACTTCTATTTCAATTAATTGACTTATAACCTCTTGAATAACAACTTTTTATCGTTTATTTTCCTTTTTAAAACTTCAAATTTCAGTAAAATGCAATTGTGAACCATTTTATACTTTCGCAAATTCTATTTTAGCTTCCCAAATTTCTATTTTACAAATCACTCATATCTCTTAAATAATTCATATTTTTATCAAATTTTTCCCTTTTTATACTCCAAATTTGCTAAAAATGCAACCATTAAATACTCTCGTAAAATCTATTTTAATCTAACCAAATAGAAATATTTTAATTATTTAACTCAGATCTCTTCTCAAACAACTTTTTTCTTCATTTTTTCCCTTTTTGAAACTTCAAAGTGTTTTATCTACACATTGTGAGATTGTATGGGTCGTAACAATGAATCCCCCAGATGTAACGTGCAATACGACACATACTGCTGGAAGCCAGGTATCATCATCAGCTAGGGGAATGCTCAAAAGCACGCAATCCCGAAACACAACACACGTTCATCCCTAGGCTTAGATTATTGATGACTTCCTCCGTTCCCAGCATTCCCAAGCATCTCAAACGCCTCAAAGTACAGATATAACCTTGAATGACTCACAGGATGACAACAGGATTCTATTTATGCTGACTTTACCTTGACTATAAACTGGAAACTCGCCATCGCTATGACTGTGCGTGAGCATCAGATGACCGTTCCAGTAGGAACGCTCCTGACTGCCGTCCGCTGTCGATTGCGTCTGCGGCTGAAACTGGGGCGGTTGGGAATATTGTTGATACTGTTGTGGCTGCTGCTGCTGCTGGTGGTGATTCTGCTGTTGTTGCAATTGTTGATTGTGAATGCGCTGCAGCTGTTGCACAACAGCCGCTGTTTGTGGCAGCTTGGCGAAGCGTTCCGCAGGCTCCAGCGTGTACAGTTGTGAATCACTTCGCACACGGGTAGACAATAGAGACGCTCCAGAAATTTGGAACTTCACACACACTCACCAAACAACACAAAAAAAAACGCGCTCAAAATGTAAATGCAATGGAAGCGATCGGAGATTAATCCTATAGTATAATTATTGCTTATTGACCACTCGAAATGCACGAGATAACAAAGCGGATAATGCACTCTCCCGAGATGACTGCGTCTCACAACCCCAAAATTCCCTGCCCTCGACGGAGCGCGCACCGTGCACCCTGCGCGCTACGCGTGGTACAGTCGAACCGAAAAACGATTTCGATCCCGAAAACGATCCCGACTCCCGTACAATAGAAACGCGGCGCCCACACGCATACACGTATTACGTCAAGGGAGAGCGAAGGGAACGCGCCGTCGCAACGTGGCGAGGGATGCTGTCGGGGGATGCAAAGGCATCTCTCCCTGCCGCCGCCAGAGAAGAGGGCGCGCGACTACGTCACACCAGTTACCATAGCAACGCAATAAAAAACATGTGGACGTACAAAAATTCCCCAAAACTTCAAATCTAACCACAATTTTAAAAAAATATAAAAAACTTACTATCACCGTTGACATGAGGTTCATCTCCTCGTCCATCATCATTGTGATGATCTTCATGTTTTCCATTAACTGCAAAATAAAAATAAAATAAATTAAAACAAATAAAAATAAACAATATTTAAACATAAAATAAATAAATAAATAAACACCACAATTATTCATTAATTTTATTGCTTACATAAATACTACAATTAATTCACAAATCGTTAAAGAACTCGACTTTAACCAACTTCTCCAATTCAATCTTCAACTCCGGCGGTAAATCCTGCAACCGCGGTGTTGGCACATCATTCACCTGCAGAACGTCCCATTTTGCAGGATTCGCGATGGAATTCTTAAAATTAGTCGCAAAATGTTTAATGTGTTGAAATCTTTTGCGCAGTGAGATTCTCGAGTCAATCACATACTGCGATGGATCAATCAACATCGAGTAGTTGCCATTTTGCACGCCTTGCACACTGCAGTTAACCAATAAATCGTCCATACAAATAGTGCATAGTAATCTACACTGTTGTCGACGAAAACAACCCAACACGAATGTAAGTTCATACAAACTATTTGATTTCTTCCATGTGTCAGGAAGACGTTTACAGAGGTTATGTACGCGTTGCTTGTCGAATTCAAAATGGCCGACTGATGAAAACTCTTCAGCGCAATGCAGCGGTATGAAACCTTGCTCTAGCATTATAACAAAGATGAAACACACGATGATATCGTATTTATTGAGTGCGCTGGGTGTTTTATTCAATGTTTCCAGACGTTCCAGCACGAGCGCATAGGAAATAGGCTCGTTGTCACCCTCGATCTCTTCGATCAACAGAGGGCTCTGTACAGATGTCACTAAAAATATCAAAAAATCAACGATTCAGTTCGTATTGTTTAAATTATATTTACCATAATTAACGAGAGGTTTAACTGTACTGCAACGATACACACACACAGAGAGAGAAACACACAGAAAACAAATGAACACACAATGTGATGAAGTGTGGAATTTTGAATTTCGCGCGCTATGCTTCAATGGTCGCCGGCCGAATCACGGATTTTGATTGGTTGGGAAGCAAACAGTTGAATAACCTGTTGATTTATTTTTACTTCTTCGTTAGAATGTGATTTCAACCCCCGAAATTATCATTTCACCGTTTGTATAGTAATAAAATATTACTATATAAATATAATATGAATTTTTCGTTTGTAAACATAACCCAAACAGGTTTTAAAATTGGGCGAACGTAACACTTTTGTTTTACCGCGTTAGCACATTGGCAATGCTGACGACAGGTGGATGTAAAAATCCAGCCGTCGTTACAAACAGAAATGGCACAAATGATGTTTACAGATGTTTGAAGATGGGCACAGATAATCACCTTTGAGCGTATGCTCACTCTCGTCCTTGTCGTCCTCTTCGGCCGTGGTGGTGCCGTCCACTTTTTGCACTAACTTTGCGCTGGTGGACGCGCTGCGACCGTCGTCGGTCGTCGGCGTCTTCTCCTGGCTGCTGCACTCAGCCATTTTCGTGGGTAGCACGCGCCCGACGCGCGCGATCTTTCGCCGACGCTGGTGATGTTGATGGCCAACCGCACACGCCACCGAAAAGTTAGAGATTCACGTCGAACGCGCCGATTGTTGTTGTTTTGTCAGTGTGCGTTCATGCTGCGTTCGTAGCTCGCGCGAGCGTCGTATGTGTGCGACTAGTTTCTGCATGTGTTTGAAACGCGTTGTGTCACTTTTAGTTTATATGTCTGCCGTAAAACAGCTTTTTGTGGCGCTGCGGTCAAGTTATTACACTGAGTGCTACAAGATTGCTACATATTTATAAAGTTATTTAAATTAAATAAGTCATAAAAATTTAATAATTGAGGACTAAATTTTTAACACACTAAATAATACCTTATATACTTGGATTTAATAGTACTTAAAGTACGTTTAAAGCTGATTTTGGGTCTAAAATTTGAAATTTAGTTGTTACCCAACCACTTTGTATACAAGCGCTACAACTGTTGTGCTTGCTGTAAAAACAAAAATTTAGAAACCGGACCGCGTCGGGTCTGTGCACGTCGGTTACTTTCTTCTCCGAGAATTCATGAGAAATCCACTATAAAAACTGACTAAACTCTGCAAAGTGTATTAATTACCCGCAGAAATGTATGACACTGAAGAAGGTAATGCACATTTTCATGATTAAACAATATTGCGTTACTCCTGATCCTAACCTAAAACAAAACCGCTAAATTTCAACACTTTCTACGCAGATCAATTCGAAGATGAAGAAGGTGAGGATATCAGCTCTGAACTATGGCAGGAAGCCTGCTGGATTGTCATCAACGCATATTTCGACGAAAAAGGTCTCGTCCGACAACAACTGGACAGTTTTGATGAATTCATTCAGATGTCTGTCCAGAGAATTGTTGAAGATTCACCACAAATTGATTTACAAGCAGAAGCACAGCATACCAGTGGAGAAATTGAAAATCCTGTAAGAAAATACGTAATTTAATCTATAAACAATTAAATAATTTTATTTATTTCTTCATAGCCAAGATATTTGTTTAAATTTCAACAAATTTACTTATCAAAACCAACCCATTGGGAAAAAGATGGTGCACCATCACCCATGATGCCTAATGAAGCCAGATTAAGAAATTTAACTTATTCCGCCCCGTTGTACGTGGATATCCGTAAAACCATCGTCAAAGAAAACGAAGAACCAATCATAACTGAACACGAAAAAACATTCATTGGCAAAATTCCAATTATGTTGAGATCCACTTATTGCTTACTCTCTGGATTAACAGATCGTGATTTAACTGAGTTGAACGAATGCCCGCTTGATCCAGGCGGTTATTTTATCATCAACGGCTCTGAAAAAGTTCTAATCGCCCAAGAAAAAATGGCGACGAATACAGTTTATGTATTCGCAATGAAAGACGGAAAATACGCATTCAAAGCAGAAATCCGCTCATGTTTAGAACACAGTTCCAGACCTACAAGCACCCTCTGGGTAAACATGATGGCTCGTGGTGGTCAAGCTATCAAAAAGCAGCAATCGGTCAAAGAATCATCGCTATCTTACCGTACATCAAACAGGAAATCCCAATCATGATTGTTTTCCGTGCTTTGGGTTTCGTCGCCGATCGAGATATCCTCGAACACATCATCTACGACTTCGACGATCCAGAAATGATGGAAATGGTCAAACCATCCCTTGATGAAGCTTTTGTTATCCAAGAACAAAACGTTGGGTTAAACTTTATTGGAGCCAGAGGTGCACGACCGGGTGTAACTCGTGAAAAACGTATTAAATACGCAAGAGAAATCTTACAGAAAGAAATGTTACCGCATGTCGGCGTGTCCGATTTCTGCGAAACGAAAAAAGCTTACTTTTTGGGTTACATGGTTCATAGATTATTACTAGCAGCGTTAGGTCGTCGTGAGTTAGATGATCGTGATCACTACGGTAACAAACGCCTGGATCTCGCTGGTCCGCTACTCGCGTTCCTTTTTAGAGGATTATTCAAGAATTTAATCAAAGAGGTGCGAATGTTTGCGCAGAAATTCATCGATCGCGGAAAAGATTTCAATTTTAGTTTAGCCATTAAAACCAAATTAATCACTGATGGGTTGAGGTATTCTCTTGCTACTGGTAACTGGGGTGATCAAAAGAAAGCGCATCAGGCACGTGCTGGTGTATCCCAGGTATTGAATAGACTTACATTCGCTTCGACATTGTCACATTTACGTCGCGTTAACTCACCGATTGGTCGTGATGGTAAACTGGCTAAACCACGTCAGTTACACAACACTTTATGGGGTATGATTTGCCCAGCGGAGACACCCGAAGGCGCTGCTGTAGGTTTAGTAAAAAATCTCGCGTTGATGGCTTATATTTCCGTCGGTTCGCAACCATCACCTATTCTTGAGTTCTTGGAAGAATGGTCGATGGAGAATCTTGAAGAAATTGCACCTTCAGCCATTGCAGACGCGACGAAAATCTTCGTCAATGGATGCTGGGTAGGTATCCATAGAGATCCCGAACAGTTAATGGCTACTTTACGTAAACTACGTCGACAGATGGACATCATCGTGTCTGAAGTATCCATGATTCGTGATATTCGTGACAGAGAGATACGAATCTACACTGATGCGGGTCGTATTTGTCGTCCGTTGTTAATCGTAGAAAATGGTACTCTGCTACTAAAGAAAAGACATATTGACATGTTAAAAGACAGAGAATACAATTACGGATGGCAAGTATTAGTTGCATCAGGTGTGGTTGAATATATTGATACTCTAGAAGAAGAAACAGTGATGATTGCAATGTCTCCAGAAGATCTCCGCCAGGAAAAAGATTGTGCTTATTGTACAACATACACACATTGTGAGATTCACCCGGCGATGATTCTCGGCGTGTGTGCGTCGATTATTCCCTTCCCTGATCACAACCAGAGTCCCAGGAATACTTATCAAAGTGCTATGGGTAAGCAAGCCATGGGTGTGTATATTACCAACTTCCATGTGCGGATGGACACACTCGCGCATGTTTTATACTATCCACACAAACCGCTGGTAACAACCCGGTCGATGGAATATCTAAGATTCAGAGAATTGCCAGCTGGTATTAATAGTATCGTCGCCATCTTGTGTTACACTGGTTATAATCAAGAAGATTCTGTTATTCTGAACGCCTCAGCTGTTGAGCGCGGGTTCTTTAGATCGGTGTTTTACCGGTCGTATAAAGATGCTGAATCTAAACGTATTGGTGATCAGGATGAACAGTTTGAGAAACCTACGAGGCAGACATGTCAGGGTATGCGTAATGCGCTGTATGATAAACTGGATGATGATGGGATTATCTCGCCGGGGATTCGTGTGTCTGGTGATGATGTAGTCATTGGTAAGACGATTAATTTACCAGAGAATGATGATGAATTGGATGGTACCACGAAGAGGTTTACTAAACGTGACGCTTCTACTTTCTTGAGGAATTCTGAGACAGGAGTTGTGGATCAGGTCATGTTGACGTTGAATTCTGAGGGTTACAAGTTTTGTAAAATCAGGGTGCGATCTGTGCGGATTCCACAGATTGGCGATAAGTTTGCGTCAAGACATGGACAGAAAGGTACTTGTGGGATTCAATATCGCCAAGAGGTAATAATTTTTTTTTTCGTTTGCTACTGAGTGAATAGTATATAATTATTGATTTCTATTTTATATTGTGTTGTGTTACTTATTTTATCTTAGGAGAAACATGTTTAAATTAAAAATAAGTAACACAATACGTGATAAAATAGAAATAAATAATTAAATAATTATTATTAAATCATTTTTAACATAATCTTTAATTTTCAGGATATGCCATTTACTTGCGAAGGTCTTACACCGGATATCATCATCAATCCTCACGCTATCCCTCACGTATGACAATTGGTCATTTGATTGAATGTATCCAGGGTAAAGTTTCCTCAAACAAAGGAGAAATCGGTGATGCTACTCCATTTAACGATGCTGTCAACGTACAGAAAATCTCCACGCTTTTACAAGAGTACGGTTATCACTTGCGTGGTAATGAGGTGATGTACAATGGTCATACAGGAAGGAAAATCAACGCGCAGGTCTTCCTTGGACCTACTTACTATCAGCGCTTGAAACATATGGTGGATGATAAAATTCACTCAAGAGCGCGTGGTCCTGTGCAGATTTTGGTTCGTCAACCTATGGAAGGTAGGGCGCGTGATGGCGGCTTGCGTTTCGGTGAGATGGAGCGTGATTGTCAAATCAGTCACGGCGCAGCGCAGTTTTTGAAAGAGCGTCTCTTTGAGGTGTCAGATCCGTATCGTATACACATTTGTAACTTCTGCGGGTTAATTGCGATTGCCAACATGAGGAATAATACGTTTGAGTGTAAGGGTTGTAAGAATAAGACGCAGATTTCACAGGTGAAATTACCGTATGCGGCGAAGTTGCTTTTCCAGGAATTGATGTCGATGAATATTGCACCGCGATTGATGGTTATTTAAACATTAAGTTAATTTTAGTATGTATAAGATAAATAATAGTTTTATATGAATGATTTCAAGATGGATACATATAAGTTGTAGTAGTTTTTCTTTATCTGTGGATAATATTTACTATGATTACGTTGTCCTATTAATAAAGGATGAATCTGATTTTTTGTGTCTGCGATAATAACGTTGATTGTGAGTTATGATATATGGCATATTTCTATTCGAAAATGTCATGCGAATGATGCTAATCGTGTGCATGACCGTGATAAGCGCACGAGGTGAACAACTATCAAGTAATCTAACTAATCTCGTCAGAGGAGCAGACAGGTTGTATTAAACCGCATTAACTGATTATAATCATTGGGATTATGATTATAATTACCTACTGGGAGAGAATCAACGCTGATTTATATAGTAGTGTATATGTACAATGTAATTGTGCGGAACACAATTGTTCTGTTATCATTAGTAATAAAAATAAAACAGCGTATAATGCGAAATAACGAATCATATGACAACAAAACCATAAATGTGGTAACATTCATGATCTGATAAGACATATTTCGCATAATGTGCTTCACATAGCGCGTTTTTATTTTAGTTTGTTCACTAAAGTGTGACCAAGTGATATTGAACTACATAATGAAATCATTAATTTGTATTCTGTTTTGATTTTTTACTTCAATAGCAAGGTAAATACTATAAACAAGTGATGACAATAGGTAGTGCATACAAATTGATTGCAATCTTAGTAAATACAATGAAAAACACCTTATCACGAGAACAATAAGTGTAAATTAACACTATAAACGCATAAACTGTGTCTATATCTTCATGCGACGGGATATTATATGAATTCATAACCTTAAAACTTAAAGTGATCTAGATTTAAGAAGATTGTTATTGTTTTACCTTGATATACATAGTGTAATTTGTGTCTGAGACAATTAGTGTGTTTATAAACAAAATGTGATAAACATTTGTGAAGAATATTTAATATTTAAGTTCTTGGAAGTTTTGGGTGAGTAAAGTTTCCAATAAAAGTCATTCAAATATTCCATTATTATTCACTACTGAGAGGAGTTGTTAATAAATATAAGTATAAATTATTGAGTCATGTTGAAATTTTGATAACGATAATCACGAAAGTAGTGAAAAAGAACAATTGTATGGGTTGTATAGAGCACTGTATATACAAAAGCCGATTAAACATGAATGCACACGAATGCATTGGTGCATTGATGATTCACAAAGTAAATTTAATTGTTGCAGTAACTTTTTTATGAGTTTTACGTGACAATAGTCTAGCACGTTTTTAATAGATTTATTATAGCTATTGAAGTAATGTGTTTTTGTAAGTGCACAATTTTTGGATTATTTAAGTGTCGTGTCGGTGTTATTTAAACATTTATTGTTATTAAAGTTAAAACGGAGGTAAGTGACATGATGACATTGTTGTTTTTGCATGGGCAGGGAAAACTAAGAGCAATGACCATGATATTAACTATTTAATAAATACCTAAGTAGATTTTTAGTCGTTTTATTTAGTTGGCATGATAATTGTTTTTGAAAAAATATATAATCCACAGAAATATATTTTATTTACAATGAATCGGATGTTATTATAAAATATGTTGATTTATTTGGTTAATAATTAGATTTAAATTTATAGTTTTTAAATTTGTGCCAAAATTAATGATTTTAGTTGTAACGTCAAAGTTTAGTTGACAAAATGGAAAATTGGACGCATATTGGAGTAGATTCATAGAAATTTTATTAACTAAAAATAAACAAAGTTGAATTCTTTAAAATCTAAATTCAAAATACTATCGAGTGCCTGTCATCTACCTTAATATCTGATTGAACCTGAATAGGGGAAATGACGTCAATGTTGAGTTATTTTTCCTGATTGCCGGTTTTTCCAATTTCACAATTTCTTGATGTTGAAATAATCAACTACTTCACATTTGATAAAATACAATAAATACCAGCATTTTGGGTATTGCATGACTTGACTTTCTTCAAATAAACACAAACTACTAAATAAAGTTTAGTAATTTTCTGTTAAGTCATCATAATTTATTAGCCCAAAACTAAAACTTCTAGACGCTCCATTTAATATCTTGCATGACTCTGCAATTAAACAATTAAACATCGCAAGATTTAATACGCGAGTTGTGCAATTGCCTCAATGTGTTTCTATTTATCTGTGGTCAAGATGAGTCAAGTAACATCCACTCTCATCACACAAACATCGATAATAAACCGAATAGAGTGACAGAATACTCGAATAAAAATTAGTAGGTCGAAGACGCGAAGAGCAACCAGTAACCCACTCTTGCGATGCGTTAATTAACATTAAGGTAACATACGAAACTCGAACAGAAGCCCAGAAAGCCCAGCAACATCAAAAACCATTCTTACAACAAACTTACTTACATTTATCCACATACACCATGTTCCGACAATATAATTAAACATAAATTATTTGCTTATATAATTAGCTTCATATGAATAATATAACAAGCAATGATTTAACTCACGTCCTTGACTCTAGTTTTTATTTTATTTAAAATCCGCTAAAATACGCTCCAATTATAATTTCCAACGGAAGTACTCGTATACAATCAGTAAATACATGCCATATCATCCAGCCACTCAAAACGTCACAAAATCACGAAACTCACAAAATTAACAATCGGAAAATAATGTGTCGGACACGCTCCACATTTACGATTTTAAAAAAATCATGTCTACTACACTGTACCAATTTCAAAATTAATCGCACACTAGTTTCTGTTCACAGTAATAATCTTATCAGCACGAAAAATGAATTTATCTAGACTATTCGATTTATAATTTGTTATTGTTGTTAGATTATCAGCCGCTTTGGACAGATTGTATTACGCGTGATACTTCTTTTCTTCGCAAATACCCGACGCGAGTGCGAGTACGTTTAAATTTCTCTGTTTTAGCGTGGCGCGAGGAGCAGAGACGAGTTGAAGGCAGGCAATTCCATGTAATTCGAAACGGTTGCTCGCCGGGCGTTTGGGCAGCGCGAGAACTCGTAAAAGTTCATTAAAACAACGCAGTTCGCGGCCGGTTTCGTTGGCGATTCGACGATCGACAGCAGAACGAATCATAACACCGCTGAATGCGGTGCGGAGATCACGGGCAGCACGGTTTTGAGTTCATGTCGAAGACGATGTTTTCGACGAGAACTTTTTATTCTATTTTATCTTAATAATTAATGAAGGTTAGTGGTTTATATAATTTTTATAAATTCATATAAATTTAAATTGGATAAAATTATAATGAATATAAATTTGTTTTTAGTTGTGAGGTTTTCAAGATGAATTTACTTTTTAAACTAGTGACATTAAGTGCAATCTGTAAGTATTAAACATCAATATATAAATAATTAATTAAATTAATTATATTCTGATGAATATATTTAATTTATTGTGTTTTTTCTTTTAGTTTCGTATATTAATGGTGCCATTTTCGAAGCGTCAGTGACAGATCTGCAGTTATTGGTTGACGAGAAGGAAAATATTACAATTATTGTTAAGTAAGTGAATTAAATTAATTATTACTACTTCTAAAGTATGTACTTTTAATTAAGTGGGGTATGGGTGTATTTCATAGGAAAATATAATAATGTGCATTACCATAAATATTTTATGGTGTAATAAGTGATATTGCTCTGTGTCAGCAGTAAATATGCATTAATGTGTCTTTTGCGATCAATATCACTTTATATTTTTGTTTTCACTGAGTATTTTACTTGTTGCTTGGTTGGGTAACAAGTTATAAGTAGAAAAATAGCTATTTTAAGCCCTCACGTTTAATATATAGTAAATGTCCCGGTAATTAATCAATTACTATTTTTAGTTAATATTATAAATGCGAATATGACTTTGTTTTCATATTTTTGACGTTTTCTTGCAAAATCCAATGCAATTTAGATACATTTTGGTATACAGATAGTTTTGAGCTAGGAAATGCAAGTAATCTAGGTTTTGTCAGAAAAACATAACATACAGGGTGTAAAATTAGAGATGAAATTATATAATATAACTAGAACTTGCCCGCGACTTCGTCCCGGAAGTGTTTAATAAAAATGTCATTCGTTTTTACTCTCTTGTTCTAGACATAGTATGTCTCAATTCAATCAATAAGATTCCCAATTTTATTTTCAAGAAATTAATTATATAAAGAATTGCTAAAAATGCACTTCTGTACGCCATCTTCGATTCAACTATTTAACTATAACTATGATTGAATCTCAATACCAACTTTTTCCTATAGAAAAGGCCTGTCTTTAGGGTTTTCCCGGGAATTATTCGAATTTTTCTCGCCGTAAAAACCATCCTTGGACTTTAACAAACATTTAAAAAAAGAATTGGCCAAAGTGATCTAGGCGTTGATGAGTTATGCGCTTACCAACACATTTTGCGATTCATTTTTATATTATAGATAGATTATTCAAATAATATTTATATTTTAATATTTTACCTTTTTCCAGAAATGTAGCAACCAGCGGTACATTAAATCTCACACGTTCAGCCAAAAACATCGTCGAATTAACACCAAATCAAATCCCTATACCAAAATCATCCAACGGTAGTTATCCTGTCCTCGTGGAAGCAGTCGGAGCTGGCCATGTCATCATCAACGGACAATTCGATGGGTAAATACATTCATTCTCCTAAAACACCATAATTATAAATCAAACTGACTGATTGTGACTGATTATTGTTTATTTCAGTGACGACAAGGTACTACTACGTGTCACCGTCCTCAAAAACATTGGTCTCGACGTTTTTTCTGTTGTTATCGGATGGATCTACTTCATCGCATGGTCTGTGTCCTTCTACCCACAGATTTACACAAATTATAAACGAAAAAGGTTTAAAAATCAATCAAAAACCTAAGAAAATATTAAATTAAACTAAAAACTATCAAATTTTTAGCGTTATCGGATTAAATTTCGACTTTCTGTACTTAAACATCGTTGGATTCACTCTCTATGGCGTGTTCAACTTGGGTTTGTACTTTTCTGAAGATATTAAAGAAGAGTACTTCGACCGCCATCCGGGTGGTTTGAATCCGGTGCAAGTGAACGATATTGTCTTCGCTGTACACGCTGCCATTGTATGTGCATTCACAATTACACAGACTTTTATCTACGAGCGTGCAGAGCAAAGAGTTTCGACGACAGCACGGTTAATTCTTGGTTTCTTTGCTGCCGTGATCATAATCAGTGTGATATTGTCAGCATGCAAAGTTTTAGAATGGTTGGACTTTCTATATATTTGCAGTTATGTCAAACTGACGATAACTTTGATAAAATACGTCCCACAAGTATGATTTATCACAATTTTGTTATAAAATTTATTATTTTGTGTGTAAATTGTAGGCGTATATGAATTATCAACGGAAAAGTACAGTTGGATGGAGTATTGGTAATATTCTACTAGATTTTACCGGAGGAATGTTATCCATGTTACAAATGATTGTAAACGCGTATAATTACGGTATGATTGGTTGATTTTGTTGAATTTTTACCATGATATACTTGGTTTTGATTTTTTAGATGATTGGGTGTCGATATTCAGTGACCTGACGAAATTTGGCCTGGGATTGTTTTCGGTGGCGTTCGACATACTTTTTATTGTGCAACACTACGTTCTTTACACACACTCGAGGTACGAATCGAAATGACATCAAATAAATTATACTACACACCCTGCGAATCCTCGAATCCTGTTTGAATTTTATTTAATAAATGCATGTGTGTTTTTAAACAGGACGAAAGCGTAGAACCATTGATGTTGTCCAATAAAACCAGTAATAAGGCCATTTGATTTTGTTTTAAATTTTGTTTTGGGATTTTTGTGCAATAATCATAATAAACTATAGGTTTAATGCATAATTAAACTCAAACGTACCTTATTTTTTAAATTATTCGAGATTTATCATGATGATTCTTCATTTGAGGCACGTTTTCAAAATGGCTTCAGTTTTTGTCAGCTAACAAACTTTTTAACAAATGACAATCGAAATCGGAAACACGTTTAATTTATGAATATATATCCAAATATACTTGTTTTAAACTATATTCACCCTTCCTAGTAACTTTATTGCATGTAGAGTTGGTAGAATTAATTATTAATTTAATAATTTGTTTAATTTTTCGCAGATTTATTGCCATCGAAGGTTCGGACATTCCCGACCCATGATTCGTTTTTCATCGTTTTGGATTCGTCATTGCTGTCAATGTCACTTCACACATACACGAAAAAAGCGAGGTTATAAATACAAGTTATCCACACCACAATTTCCTGAAATGTTGATTTTTGTTCGCGATTGAAACATTAAATTACCAAAATGTCACAAGTGCCGACTTGCGATGAAATAATCGACGACCTCACCAAAGATTTAGAAAACCACTGTGTCGCTAACGATGTTCAACCTGCCACAACCCAGAATATTCTAGAAACATCAAAACACAAAGTGATGAATCAGCTGTAGAAGAACTAGTTAACAAAGCCCTAAACGATAAAACCGAAGATGACAACGAAGAAGAAACTAGCGAATCACCCAACGGTAATAAACCCGCAATACCAGAAGATTACATTGATGAAGAAGCCCTCAAAGAAGAAGAATCCACCCTGACAGAAGCAGAATTAACAGAAAGACACCAAAAATCAATTGAGATCAAAAACAAAGGCAATCAAGAATTTCGTGATGAATTATACCTGGAATCAATTCAAACATACACAGATGGTTTGCATATATGTCCACTAAAACATAAAAATGACAGAGCTATTCTCTATTGCAATAGATCTGCATCAAAAATCAAACTGAAACGAATTGAAGCAGCTATTGATGATTGCACAAAAGCAATCGAATTGAATCCGGGTTATCAACGCGCATATCTTCGACGGGCTGCCGCTTTCGAAGAAAAAGATAAACTAGATGAAGCTCTGGAAGACTATAAAAATTATTAGAGTTAGATCCAGGTCAGAAAGACGCACGGGAAGCCATACATCGCCTTCCGCCTTTAATACAAGCAAGAAACGAGAAGTTAAAAGATGAAATGTTGGGTAAACTAAAAGATTTAGGAAACATGTTCTTAAAACCCTTTGGTTTATCAACCAACAACTTTAAAATGCAGCAAGATCCGAACACGGGCGGTTATTCAGTGAATTTTCAACAATAAATCAATTTGACTATATAAATGAATTTATTTTTCGCTTGTATGGCAATGATGTTGCACGATAAATCGATATTGCAATTTTTTCAGACGAATGTGAACGATTAGATGAGGTTTTTCCTGTTTGGACGCGTATTTTTTTTTAGATTATAGTTTAGTCTAGGCCGTCATCTTGCGGTGGGAAGTTGCCCATACCTGGCATGCCACCCATTCCGGGCATGCCGCCCATACCTGGGAATCCACCACCGCCGATCTTTGATGTCAGCTTGGAGAGCAACGCCTGCACCTTTGGATTCGACTGGTACTTGGCGATATTCGCTGGGTTTGAGGAAATGTCTTGGAAGGCGGCTGCTACTTCCGGATCCTACAAAAATTTCATCGTAAAATTGTTATTATTAGGAAAATTTTAAATTATTACCTGGAAAGCTTCCATAATTTCAGGATCTTGCATCAACTTCATGAAATCATCCATTCCTCGAGGCATACCACCTTCTGGTGCGCGTCCCCCAGCTCCTGACTCTTCTCCCTTTTGTTTTTGCTCCGCTGCCTTGGCGTGAGCCTCCTTCGCCCGCCTCAGTCTTTCCTTTCTCTCCTTCTCCTCCTTATCCAACTTCTTCCTTTCTTGTTTGACGCGATGATTTTCAATTTTCAACGCGAATGGCTGCGCTTCCTTCAACCATTCATCTGACTGTTCATCAAAGTCAATCTTGCAAGCTTGGCGTAAATCCTTCGCTGCTTCCTCCCATTTACCAATCAATCTGTACGCCCTGCCTCTGAATTTATACCCGGCTGCTGAATCCGGGTTCAATTCAAGTGCATGTGTGCAATCCTTAATGCATGCATTTGGTTTGTTTTGCTTGAGGAAAGCCTGGCCGCGCTTGGTGTACAAAATGGCGAGTTTCGGATTTGTTTCAATGGCCTTTGTGAATAATTCGATCGCCTTTTCGATGTTACCATTGCCCAGCTCCGAGAGAGCTTCGCGTTTTATCTCATCAGCCTGGTCCTGCTCCTCCTCAGTGGGCTCCTTGTCCGGGTCGCCCATTTTTTGCGATTCGTCGAACTTGTCCGGCTCGATGCATCCTTCCATGTCCAATTCCAGATCGGACTCTGGATCACTCTGTTCCTCGAGATCCGGGAGATCTTCATCGCTTAAAGTTGGCGATTCTGGTTTGGTGTCATCCATTTTTTGAGGTTTTGCTTTTGGTTCCGGAATGCGACCGCCAAAAGATTCGATAAACTCTTTGAAGAAGAGTAAGTCTGGTGTGTGGAGTAACTCGGGGCGAGTTTGGCAAAATGACGTGAAGGCTTTGAGTTGAGCCAAGCTCTCTGCGTTAAATGGGCACGACATTTTCTACGACGGTTGCGATGCAACTGGAAATAAATAATCGGAATACTTGCGCAGTTAGTAGCGTGCAGTATTGTTGGATACTGTTATTTATAGAACAATCAATTATTCATACATACCGATTGAAAACAAATTGAATGCCGGCTTTTGAGTGAAGTTTGTTGTTTTACGTCGTAGTTGTAACAGTATAGTGAGAGAGTAAGGTCGTGAAAATGCAGTGGTGGTGCAGTATGCAATGCGTTGTTCCAACATGAACTCAGCACAAAAACATTGCAGTGCCGGTACGAAGCGCTGCAAAAGGGAACGGAAATGATATTGAAGCGCGATATTTAAACACCGCTGTGATAAATGCTTATATTGAGCAGAAAATTAAAAGAAAAAATATTATAATTGTCTTAGATTAACAATATTTCTTTTGTTAATTGTAAAATTAATTGAAAAACTTAATTTTTCGTGTTTAACTAGTAGCAAACAACAAAACGTGCAAAATATTAAGTAGGTAGGCAACCCAATATACATATTTCCACGGAATGTTACACTTTTATCTTTTTAATCAAACAAAATTCACCATTGCTCAAAACTTGCATGTATTTGAATAACAACACATCAACAAAACGAATATTCAACTTCATTCACTACAACTTGTGCTACAAGCAGTTAAATAAGTAAGAACTGCAGCTATTTTTTGTATTCAAAATGGCCGCACTATAAAATTCACTTTCAGATAAGTTTAACCAATTTTACTTTTGTTTTGAACAATTTATTAGTTATTAAAGCTTGACAAAAAGAAAAACATCGACAATTTAGATCTTGTTGAAGGCAGCAATATCAACAGACTGTACATAATCCTCGAAACCTTCGATTTTCTCAGTAATAAGATCCACCGAAACGGTATCTTCAATGACGCACATAATCTGAAGTTTGTTGATGCCGTAACCGACTGGAACCAGTTTGGAGACGCCCCATAAGAGACCTTCCTCCACAATGCTCCGTACGCATTCCTCCATTTTCTTCATGTCGGTTTCGTCGTCCCATGGTTTGACGTCAAGGAGCACGCTGCTCTTTGCGATGAGGGCGGGTTTCTTGCTCTTCTTGTCAGCGTAGGCCTTGAGGCGTTCCTCGCGGATACGCGCGGCTTCCGCATCTTCCTCTTCGTCGTCGGATCCGAATAGGTCTACATCGTCATCGTCGTCTTTAGCAGCTGGAGCAGCTGTGGTGGTTTTGGCTGTTTTCATTGGGCAAGCACCACCAGCGGCGAACTTCTTGCGTTCGTCAGCGGAAAATGACTTGATGTGATTGTACCAACGCAAGACGTTGACGAGGGATGCAGCTGGAGCTTTTGCAAATGCTGTGAAAGTCTCCACATCAGCCTGGGATGGAGTATATCTGCAAATTTTAACAGAAATAAGTTTCAATTTATTTTAGTTTGTTGTAAAGTATATATGAATAATTTTTACTAAAGTCAATATGAAAATCTGGATAAAAGCCAGAAAAATCTTTCCAAATTCTTTGAAAGAAATGAATATTTGTAGAAATATACTCAACATACCCATTGACATAGCTCTTGTCTTCGAGATGAGCGTTGAATTCCTTAAGACCTTTGTCTGATTTAACGTCGAAACCCATTTTTGCTGATGATTCTATTGAATTTTATTGGACACGAATTGGAACGGTGCCTGCGTGGTGTCTGCCAAGATTGCGGAGAGGAAAAGGCCGGAAACAGAGCGTGCGCCGCGATTGTCGCGTGTTGGCTTGTCGAAATACTGCACATGCGCATTACATTCGTGTATTTTCTTCTCATTTAAAAGATTAAAAAGTATAGGAATTATACTTACTATATTTAAATTACAACTGTACATAACACAAAGAAATTCTTGCCTTTTATTCACTGCTTTTATCTATTTATTTAGTTTTACTTGTATGCTTTAATATTGTTATGCAACCAAATATTCACCACTTAGGTATCTGTCAGCTGTGTCTAGTTAACCTGAAGTAACATAAATCACAACAAATAATTTCTTGCGATTGTATATTTTATTAAATAAACTTAACTTTTGATCAACCAACATGTCCCAAAGACCTGACGACCATCGCCGAAAATGGGACCGCGCAGAATACGAAAAACTAGCCGAAGACCGCAAACGCGACGAGCGCGAATCCAAAGAAGAAGAAGAAAGTGGCAAAAAAGGCCCTCCAGTAAAACGTGAACTCTTAAAACAACGCGAATATAAAATCGACTTGGATTCCAAACTCGGCAAGAGTATAGTCATTAACAAAAGCACCCCAACATCCCAATCAGGCGGATATTACTGCAATGTGTGTGATTGTGTTGTCAAAGATTCAATAAACTTCCTGGATCACATCAATGGCAAGAAACATCAGCGTAATTTAGGCATGTCAATGCGCATCGAGCGCAGTTCATTGGATTCAGTCAAACAACGATTTGATTTCAATAAGAAAAAAATGGAAGAAAAGAAGAAAGAATATGACATGGCAGCAAGAATGCAAGAACTCGCAGAGGAAGAAGAGAAACTAAAAGAATACAGAAGAGAAAAAAGAAAAGAAAGCAAAAGAAAAATTGATGAAGTTGATGATTCTGGTGAAGTAAATGATGAAATGGCCGCAATTATGGGTTTCAGTGGCTTTGGAACCTCAAAAAAGAAATAAACAAATAATTAAATATCATTAAAATTAATAAATAATCATATTTTATAGGTATAATAATTGTAAAAAGGAATTGCATTTGTTAGTGATTGTATAGATGACTAGTACAATGACCAATATCTGAAACAATAAACATCAAGAAAAAGTTATTAAGGTAATGTATCATACCTTGTTTGCTTTTAAGGAGGTTTGTGATCCTTTATCTGGTGCCACACTATCCACACAGGGTTCCAGCACAATGGTTGCACAATGCACTGGTATAATAACATTTATAATACTCATGACAACTTTTTTCATGACATGCGCAGAGTGTTTTCCGCATACTTCGGCTGCTTTCGTGTAGTAACAGTCGGAAATTTGTTTATATGCACTAAAAAGTTTTTAGAAATTAAAAGTTTATGTATTGAGGAGGTAGATATTTGATTTACCAACAAATGTCACGCTTTTTTATGTCTTCAGTCCAATCTGATGGGCCGTAGCAGTTTTCAAAGTCGGAGTGGAGACTTTTCAAACATGGCGAACATTCAGTGAATGCTAAAGTGATAATTTGCATTAATTACATCTTTTAAAGGTTATATCTTGCTTCAAAATAACATTTAACTGGACTTTTATTTAGTTTTTGTGGAATAATGTTTAAATCATAACCAAAAAACATAAAATATCATGTTTACTGTTATTATTTAACCTCACTTTAAAGAAATTTACAAAAACTGATGCAAAATGTAGCAGAATACAACTAAAATTACTTTTTACGTTAACAAACAAATACCTTTCTTTATTTCCGTGTCTTTTTCACACATAACATCCACAAACTGAGCGATTCCTTTGATTAACTGCACATATAAATCTTTCCCACTAGGCAAAGTACAAGTTTTCAGATAATTTTCCATTCCCGCCAAAGAATCACTCACGCGCCTATAAAAACAAACAAAATTAACAAAATTACAATAAAAACACGAAAATCATAAACAATACTTTAGAAATGTGCGTGTCTATATAATAATAAATACTTGCAAATAACTGGCAGTTCCTCCTGCGTGGACAAGTTAATAATACTCTCGGATTGGTGACTTGCAATTCAGCGAGGAAAACCATCAGTTCCTCGTCGTCGCACACATTCATCGCTTCGCGTTTCATCAAGCAAGTCATTCGTTTGTTAATTGTCTGCTGAATTATATTAACATGATCCTGTGTATTTTCTCGTTTGAAAGAAGGTTCGACTTTTTCCTGACTGTCGTCACTTGTTGAGTGAGTAAAGAACTGTTTGATTGTATCCAAGATGGTTGCTTCGACTAGAATAAATTATTTGTAAGTACAAAGTGTGTTTAGCATGTTTTACATACCCGGGTCGTGTATAAAGGCTTTAAAAATGATTATATAAATTAATAAATGGGCTACATGCATTTGACTATGTCACAAACATGTTATAAGTGACATTTTGACATTTTGTGAAGAAACAAATTGTAATTATTATTGTTTTTTATTGTACAAATCGTTTCTGGAGCGTTTCATGCGAACTAATTGTATTAAACTATACTTAGAAAGTGTATTAATTGTTATAAACAATTAAAAACACTAAAACTAACAAGAAATATGAATTTTGACATAAAATTTTAAAAAGAATTGGTGGCTGAACAATATTTAGGTACTACATTAATAATATATAATAAAACAAATTAATACATAGTTTAAATACAAATTTCTCTCTTTTAAACTTCTGAAAACTTTAAAACTTTTCAAATTTGACATAACATGTTTCAAATTTTGACATTTGACATTCTTTCCGCAGCACATTTGAAGGTCGACACATAATGGAAAGTACCCGAGCGCTGCAGACTCCTTCCCCGTGAGCGTCGCATTGCAATTTGCGATTTGTGTGCCGCACGTTCATTCAATTACATCACGCGCCGCGTAATATCGCAATAACACACAAAAAAAGTCAAGAGTGAAGGTTGCACTTGCGCAGCTCGCGTCCAGGTCCAGCGAGAGAATCGAGAGTGATGTCGACACTGGTTGTCGCAATCCGCACTTAAACTCCATTAATTGCGCGCTGCAGGCAGCAACACAAATACACGATGGTAGTGATGGAACCTGCACTAGTCTGCTGCTCGCAATCGTCGACGATAGTATAATGAATGTTTCACCTAAGTCTCTTCATTTTTACCGCCTTTGTCATTGTTTTGATGGCAAAGTTGTACAAATTCGCCATGGGCAACACCGATGAGCATGCCACCGAAAACGAACCGTATGTGTTTAAAGTCTTCAAGTACATCAAAGTGGAATCCAACACGATACAACAACAGCAACCGTTGGCGAGATCCGGACATCGCATCGTCGCAGACAGCAAGTATTTGTACTCGTTTGGTGGCTACAATCCACAAATACCCGCTGATTATCAGCGTCGTCGCGAGGATGAAGATTTTCCATTGTTTCAAGAGTTGTGGAAGTTTAATTTCGCCTCCAGGGAGTGGAGTTTGTTTAGTATTTGTGGAACTTTACCTTTGGAGTTAGCTTCCAATGCGGTTGTTAGATTGGGGAGTTATTTAATGGTAAATATTGCAAATATTAATTTATTTATTTATCCTTAATTTATTTATTATTAAATATTTTATTATATTGTAGGTTTATGGAGGAACAGGATCTCCGTTTGGGACACGATGCAGCAATTCGTTGTATTTGTGTTCGTTAAAAGACGACACCAGTAAAATGATGGAGATCAATACCACTGGACAGTTACCAATACCTCAGTATGGACAGGCTTTAGTTTATCACAATAATTATTTATACACGATTGGTGGGACGACAGGATATGCGTACTCTTGTGATATTCATAGGTAAGATATTGAAAAGTTTCTCAATATTATCTTTAAAAATGTGTTAATTGTGAGATTTTGTTAGGAAAATTGTGTCCAACATTAAATTTTAGCTTACAATTTACTAGTAGACGCAAAAATTATGTTTTTATTGCGTTCGTTTCCGGGTTATAGCGATTTCTATATTTTTTCCGCATCCACCGCTTTATTTGATGTTTATTCATGTAAATACGCTTGTTTTTGCTTGTTTTTCAATGTTTTTATGAAAAATATTTAAGAATTACAATATTATCTTAGTAAATTCAATAGTTCAGCTTATAATCTCACTTTTAAAGCAAAAATTACGTTTTTATCGAATTTAGTTTTCGAGTTACAGTGATTTTTACGTTTATTTTTTATTTTTCGAGCATTATTTACTCTTAATTCACTTAAAAACATGCGTTTTTCTTTGTTTTTCAACGTTTTCAAAAATATTTAAGAATTATGTACAATATTTTCTTAGTAAATTCAATAGTTTAGCTTATAATCTCCCTTTTGAAGCAAAAATGACGTTTTTATCGAATTTAGTTTTCGAGTTACAGTGATTTTTACGTTTATTTTTTATTTTTCGAGCATTATTTACTCTTAATTCACTTAAATACATGTGTTTTTCTTTGTTGTTCAACGTTTTCATGGAAAATACTTATGAATCATAATATTTTGTTAGTTTGTTTAAAGTTCGGCTTGAATCTATCTTTAGAAACAATAATTATACTTCTACTACATTTAGTTCCGAAATTATAACGGTATTTATTTTTATTTGCGTGTTTATAGCGTCATTCGGTCTTTATTTATGCGTAAATAAGTTTTTTAAATACTTTCATATTGTTTTCGATGAATTTATATCTATTTGATAAGCTTTTCATGATTTTATTGCTTTCAAAAGCTAAATCATAAATATTTACATTGATCCACTCTAACACTAACACTACCCATAAATTGATAACAATAATATTAATCTTTTTCCTTTTTTTGTTAAAGATTAAACTTAACAACCCGTGTCTGGGAGCAAGTCTACATATGTCAGGGAAACAAAGAGCACGAACCACCTGGACGCTACCGACACGAAGTGGCCTTCACCGGTACTGATGTGTACATCCTAGGCGGCGGCACCGCCGAAGTCGCCTACGATTTTAAAGAGTTACCAGTCTTCAACCTCGAAAAACGCGAATGGCGCTCAGTCAGAACCCACCCGGACGCAAATACGCCACATTATGGTCTCCCAAAAGGCCGTCGGTGTCATGGCGCTGTGCAAAATGACCAAGAAGTGTTCATTTGCGGCGGCAGTGACGGCACTGAAATCTTCACCGATTTATGGCGACTGGATCTCAGGACAAGCGTATGGACACGAATAGACACGTGTATATTACCGAATCCGACATATTTTCATTCGACTGCGGTTACCCCCGAGGGTAAATTAGTCATTTTTGGTGGAATCATCTCGCAAATGGGGCAGATCAAACGCAATAATTGGGTGTACACGACATGGCTGCGGATACCCAAGCTGAGCGAGATGTGCTTCGAGGCGTTGTTGCATTATCGACCAGTATTGACCAAGTATAACAACGATGAGTTGATCAGCATTGGCATGCCACGGCATTTCATCCATCGTTTACAGCAGTGACATATCTTACAATTTCGAATTTGACTGTAGACTGCACTTGAATTATATGATTATGATAATTTGAAGGAAATAATATAATATAACAAGTTGCAATGTCACAATTGATACAAGGCGTTTCTTGTAATGCGTAAATTGTTTGTGTTTTAAAAGCATTGTGTACAGTTTTATCATTCTGCATTCATTAAAACAGTAAACAATGTTAAATATTGAAATGTGCAACATGCTCAGTTTATTCCTACCTTTGTGTAATCAGACCATGCTTCTTGTTGTTAAACAAATGAGATATGCGAGTAAAGCCGTGTTTTTGTTGAGATAATGTGCTGTTTAATTAAAATTATCAAACAAGAGTCGAAAACATTCGTTTCTTGCGAAATATAGGAAAAGCGCATGCGCGGGAGGACGTTTTATAACCTATATTTGTATCCACAAGCTTTTTATTTACGTTTTTAACAGAAAAACATTAAAAATTTAGAAAAACTTTATTTCTGTTAGAGAAAATGTTAAAATGGCGATGCTATTCGCTGATTGGTTGTCTGTCACATGTCAAAACTTTTTCAAACATGGCTGACACTTCCGAACCTGAAAAATTAGTCTAAAGTTGTTTAAATTGCTGTTTTTATAAACTGTTGCAGTATAAATGATAATATTTGGCATGCTTGTGTAATTGTAGTTGTTATGTGGATAATGATAACAGGTAATTGTTTATAACAATACTCCGATTGTTATACTTAATAATTTTGTTTTCAGCATGCGCCATTTTTAACCGATAGTTTAATTGTGGAAATTTTTCTTGCAGTTAAATTAGGATATTCGCCTTGAAAACCGCCGCGGATACTGCGCAATGCGCGTGTGCAATCGGAGGCGGCAACAACGACGCCGCCGCACGCACGCTGGCTTTGTTCCCGCTTCGCGCCGATGGCCATAAATATCCGAATCGTCCCGTCCCGCGCAGCGCCGACGGGCGCTCGCTTCCCAAATCTCGTGAATTGTCCCTTTCTCGAGCCGCACGTCGCCCAAGGCGGCAGCCAGGCAGCGCAGCCGATAAATTAAAAAAAATTGTCACCCGTCACCGTTTCGTCGGTGTCGCCGCAGTCGCGCACGTCGTCCACACGTCTCGCCGCGCATTCGGCCGCACGTCGTCGAGTCCGTCGAGTCGAGCAGCGCTCGTTCGCTCGTCAGCAACAACCAACCCCCTTCGTGGGACTGCAACGCAACAACAACAACTCGACCAGTGTCATTCAAATCACAATGACGACAACGACCAGTGAGTGTTGAAGAGGCCCCACACATCGCCCGACAAGACCAACATGGGCAAAATCCAGTAGCGCACCAACATCGTCAGCACTACTACACCACACACAACGTCCATCTAATTTTCACCTGTGAAGGGTGAAATAAATTTTCAACGTTATTTTATTCCACATCGACTTGATAATTCGCAATCATGGATAAAGAAGAGAAGCGAGTGTATAAACTTGTGTTAACAGGCGGTAAGTTAAAATAATTTAAAACTCAGCCATGCACTTATTCATCATGCGGCTTTAACCTAAAATCGTATTACATCAGGTTGTTGAAATTGCGTTGTACTGAAGGTCACGCTGATTGTTTGTGCTTGCCATAAACTATTAACACCGCAATGTTAATTGCGGTTGAAATCACTCGTCAAATCCAGTGCGAATCTGGCGAAATCGACGGGAATAGACCACGTTTTTGGACGCGGGCACATTTCCACTGTTATGCAACCCAATATACATCTAATACACATGCATCACACTAATTTGTGCTATAATATAATAAACTATTTGTTTAAATTTAGGTCCTTGCGGTGGTAAAACAACAGGACAGTCCAGGCTGTGTACATTCTTTGAGAACTTGGGATGGAAGGTGAGCATGACCTCTATTTTAAATGACATACAATCAAATTAACGACTTTTTAAAAGAACAAGTATTTAGAAGCCATTTAAAGATTGCAAGTTAAAAACATTCAAACACAGAAAGACGAATGCTACACGAACAGAAACACAGGTATATTCTGTTCACATGACTCGTCTTTCTTTCTTTCTTTAAATATTTTTTGGGTCTTTTTGTTGAGAAATTGAATTTTTTCACAACCTGAATGTGAATATTTGGGGGGTGTAGCAACAACAATGTTGGCATTTCGTACTTGTTTGCAGGTATTCCGCGTACCTGAGACGGCAAGCGTGCTACTCAGGTAGGTATTTCCTCATCCATCATTATTTTCACGACTTCAAGTCTTAAAAATCAAACAAAAGCATTAAAAATTATCTCAAAGTAAACTCCAAGGCGTGAATTCAGATAAATAATTGATCGTTTTGTTATTTTTATGCTCATATTACATCCTTCGGTTTCATATTCCGCAAGTTTGTAATAGTAAATTAATATCTAAGCAAAAAAAAAACCGAAGGAACGACATGTCACAATGCGAAACTAATTGCGCTCTGTTTTGTTTGTTTCATTTTCCAGTGGCGGAATCAAATTCAGCGATCTCAGCGAAACGGAAGGTGAGAGACACCCACTTTTATCTTATTATTATTATTACTAGTAGTTGATTACAATTGTGCGCAATTATCCCCCCACACCACAACATCGATTACAAAACAAAACAAAATAACACCAAACAATCGTGTAATTAGGCCAGAGTTGACACACAATACGAATTGAAAATATCGCCGAGTGTTGATTATTAAATGCCGCGTTGCATGTTGGTTGCAACCTGCTGACAATTGATTAATTGGCGATTAATTTACGTCGCAGTGTGGGTTTGTTGTTATTTTTAGTATTGTTTACTTAATTCGATTGGGTCTCGAAGGTGAATTATGCTCGAACACGATATTCGCGTGCGCGTCGTATGTAGATTTTCGTGCGGCGCGGATCAACGAAAAAATTTATTAACGAATATTAATGTTTGTACAATAATCGGACGGCACACGTGAGCGGCGGAGATAATAGGGTTTAACGACTTTTCGAGGCGCAGTCAAGGTTGGGCTTCTTTATGAATCGATGACAGTTTTTTTACGAATAGGAATTTATTGCGTTTCCAATTATTGTGTGTAGGTAAAAATAACTCGGGGACAACTAATAGGAAAATTAATCTTTGTATTAGTTAGATTTGGTATTTATTCTCGGAATTTTTGGTAATTTGATTATTTTTATTAATATTCACAGGTTTTATTAAAGATTAGCTTTAGCCCGCGTCTTCGTCCCGGTAGTGTGTTATAAAAATTTGTGTAATTATCCCATAGAAAAGGGCTGTCTTTAGGGTTTTCCCGGCAATTATTTGAATTTTTCTCGACGTAAAAACCATTCTTGGACTTTAACGAACATTTAAAAAAAATAATTGTCCAAATTGGTCTAGGCGTTGTTGAGTTATGCGTTTACCAACAGATTTTCCGATTCATTTTTATATTTTAGATTATAGTTTTTGATTTAATTTGATATTGAATTTGAGTTAAAGTCTAGACTTTTAATATTTTCGATACTTTTATGGTTGAAGATAGTTTTCATGCAGAGTTTAAGGCTATCCTTATCAATTGTCATGGATATTTTGATTTAATACAATTTTGGCAGGTTCCATTTTAGGTCAAAACAGTTTTATTTAATCTGTGAGTACAATACTTCCTGCAAATTTTAAATTTTCTATTGTATGATTTAATCTGGTGCAGTATTTCACGAATGAAAACGTTTTATTTATTTATTGGCATCGAAAGAAACTGTGTCAGTATGTCTAGAATATGTACCAGACGATAACATTAATATAATTCTGCTGACAGCTTAAATTTTGATATCAAATGGGTCAGAAGTGAATTAAACCCGGAATTTGCGATTAAAAAATGAATAATTTGATTCTTAGCAGCCTTAACGCCGTGTTTATATTAAGATTAAAAAAATATCATGAAAGTAATAATATCCTACGGTAATATTATATTATAAGATACCGATTAATATTACGTACATAGTTGCAATTCGATTGAACAAAGTTTTCAACAAAACAAAAAACCCGATTGACGTTCACTTTTCTCTTTAAAATGTAATACGATGTTGAATTGAACTTCTTGCGATTAATATTAATACCAAGTAAGTCATGATGTCAACGCGGTGTTATTTTTGCTGTTATCGATTCCAGTTATGAATCAGCTGGGAAATAATATGACTTCGACACTTGTAAAATCCCTTTTTTAAACATTAACATCAATAACTGTTATGTCTGAGTTTAATGTTTAAACACACATTTTTACTGCTTCAGTAGCTGCAGAGTTTATTGAACTTCACAAAAAATAATCCAACTTTATTTCAGTCATTATCAGTTTTAAAATCTCTCATATTGTTTACCCAATACAAATAATTCTATAGATTTGTACAAACTGATTTTTTAAATATTTATTTTAAGCCTTCATAAAATTTTTGAGTCTAGTTTAGAGGTGTTCATATTAATCCATTGTGATTTATTGCACCAACGTCAAGAGATAAGCAATTTTTGGCTTCTCTCACATGTAATTTGTGCTAAATTTATTCTACTGTACTTAAACCTTTGAGAAAACTGCCTGTATGAGTCGGTATTGTGAATGTAAATTCTCTTCTTTAAGCAAAAAGTAGTTGCGTATTTACGTAGGTCAGAAATAGTGCCAAAATTCCTAATGGATCGTATAAATATTATGAATGAAAATGAAAATGTGTGCCGCGTACAGATGTGAATTAGCGCAGCGGCACGCACGTCAGTGTTGTTGCTGGTTGTGCGCTGAAACTTTTGCTAGCGTGGCAAATCACGTGCGGAGTTTACCACGTGCGTGATTAGTAAATTGCGCTTCTCATGCTGGCTGATGCAAAATTGTGCAATATGCACAATAACAGTAAACGGGAAATGCTGCGAATGTACGAGATATACGTCATTGTGAATTGTGAATGAGTTATCGTTATGATTGCTGCTATTTTAATTGAATTGAATCATTTGTGTGATTGTTGAAGGGGAAAAAGTTTGAGAAAAGTAAATTTAGAAATAATCTCGTTGAGAATAACAGGAAAGTAACATAAAGATATGTTCGAGAAACTTCAAAGTGATTCAAAGCGATTTTTTGAAACATGTTCAAATTTGTCTTGTCCATTTAACTTTTACATTTTCAATTCTATACTTCTGATCTAAAAATTCTTCAGCTTTTTTAAATGATAGATTTTTTAAAATCATTTTTTCACTGAATTTATTCTTCAAATGCCTATAACTTAGCTTAGCTTCAATAAATAAGGTTGAAAATAGTCAAAAATCGTAATATTTTAAGGAGATTTTTAACATTTCGTGCTTTGTGAAAATAATATTTTTGTTTTGTTTTTGCAAATAATAGAACAGAAAATTTATTGATTTTGAAATTTATTCTGACAAAATTTAACTGAACTATTGCTTTTTAAAAGTTAATTATTAAGTCTTTGAAAATTTACACTTTTTCAATATTTTTATTATTAAAATGTCTAACTTTCCGAAAATGAGTTGATTTGGACTTTTTGTGTATATTTTTCGTTTAAACACAGTTTTTCATGAAGTAAGATTGAAAAATAGTCTAAAAAGTACATATTTTCATTAAAGTTTCAAAATGTTTACATTTTTCAAACAATAATTACATTTTTTCAATTAAAAGTCCCACAAGTATTGATTTTGAAATATACTTTGACTAAAGTTTAACCAAACTATTTCACAATCAGGAAAAAAAACTCTTACTAATTTGTTTAGTTAAAAAAGAGGCAGTTGTCACGTATTTTAGTCCAAGGTTATTATAATATAAATCACATTATAATGATTAAATGATCATGAAAAGAGTTATGCATTACGCAAACATGATGTTCATATTCGTATTTTATTTTGACTGCAATTTATCTACTTTCAACTCTAGACAGCCAAAATACCATTTAGTTTATTTTCCGCTTTAGTGACATTCTAACAGTCTAATATTTTATAAACCTTTTTGGTTTTTGGTTTTATTTCAAATTTAAGTAATCTCATTAACATAAATAGTTTACATGGAATTTCGTCTACTTTAAATAAATTACAGCTATAATCAAACATGTCACATTACAAACATATTTACTCTATAATACCCGAAGGCATACAAAGCATTTTTCAAATAATACAATAATATACTGTACGATTGATAGATTTATATCTGTACATATTTGAAATCATTAGCGGTACTTTCAAAAGAGTTGTGTAATGAGTGTTTTTTTTTTTACTTGGGTCAAGTGTAAAAGTTCGACAACTTTGTATCGACACATACATTTTTAGTTTTAAAATCGTCTGTTTCTTTGTTACTTAATACAAACTCTAAAATAAAAGTGTCACTCCAAAAGTACAAAAAATGTAAATTACTCGAACTTCAACAATTTGATAAGAAAAGTGTTTAAGTTTCGAGTAGTCACGAAACATGTAACGCATTAAACGTCGATATCGCGCTTTTTAAACTTTGCATTTGCATGCAAATCGCTGTTACCTATTGCAAAACTTATCATTATATTATGTCGGCTGCAATTTTAACATTTACAAAACAATTGCATAAATTTCTATATCGATATTATATTTTATTTGAAGTTGGTGACACGCGTCTGTTACGATGTGTCACATGACATTTTTCGCACTCTGGTTACAAATAATTAAAAACGCGTATTGTTTATGTTGTTGACGCGATAAAACACTAACTCGGCCGAAATGTTTCCACATTGTTTACAAATAATTCTTCGATTAAATCGATGAGTAGTACTCGCGTGAATGCCAGTGGATATAAACAAATGTCTGGAGCGACGCCAGTTTAATTACGCGGTAATGAATCAGTAAAATCATCATATTTTGTCGATCGACAATTTAATTTTTACAACTGATTTTGTTTATTTTATGACCTCAAATTTGCACTCAAACAATATTGAATTTCCTGCGCAAAATACGCATAAATATTTGTTTTATGAATTAATCTTCAAGTACATCAGCAAATATTGAAATAGATGAGAGATACATCGATATCGATAAATATTGAATCAACAAATTGATAATTTCTGATTTTTTTCTGAGTGAAAATAGCAAATCACCTGAGTTGGACAAGATGGCGGCCGTACGCGCACGCGGACAGACCTATTTAGAAACGTCTGCGCTAAAAATACGCTAAAGTCCTGATTGAGCATCGTCTTGAACGCCGGCCAAAATATTTCCGCCACCAGAGTGTTGAGCTTTTATAATATAGACGCTAATCCTCATCATGATGCTGCGCTCTGGTCGACTGAGAGCAGCGGAGAAATCTTTTCGCACGCGTCGCGTTATGTTTTATTCTATTCCTATCTTTGCGCTAATGTTAAAGTTAAAATAATACATTGGCGGCGCGCGTTATGGGGTCGAATTGTTGGCGATGGCCGCCCGCATTGGTGCGGCGCGTATTTTTGGGCGAGAAAATATTTTCGGGAAACGCACGAAAAAGTTTACAAAGTTTAAAAACTTGCGGTGACAACTGCGAGTTGGAGTTTATGATTACTATTATTATCAGCGTGATTAATTGAGTTAGGGAAGCAGTCTAAGGCTTCTAGATGTTATTTTTACTTATATTATGGCTTCAGATTGTATTGATTTTATAAAAATCACTGTAATACACACGTGCCAAGTGTGTGTTTAATTATTTATGACTTGCAATATCATTGCATGTAATTGCGACAGATTTTGTAATTTAAAATCGATTAGATTGCAAAAATTCAAGTGTTTAAGTTGCCAACGTCAATGTAATTACTGTAGAAACACGTGTTTTGCGTCGGTGCATTAGCACTCTGTCATAACCTAAAAAAACAATTTTATGGAAATTATTATTGAAATAAGACACAGATTTACACAATACAACATTACCTTGACTTGATTTTTTGTTTTTCTTTTCTTTTGTATCACTTCATGCATTTATTTTAACAATGATTTTCTTTTTGATTTTAATCGGTAACAAACAATATGCAATCAGTCGAAAAAGAGCGCCGTTTGTCTCTCTTTGGCGAGCTGCACAATACGGACGACTGCGAAGAATGCTGCCGGGTGGCGTTTACGGGTAGCGAGGGTGAGAGACAAACGTAAATCAGAGATCAATGCATCCATATTGTATTGCTAACCGAATACATTACATTACGATTGTCCTCTTCTCATTTTGTACCTGATTCGCGTTGTTGTAGCTAACTGGTACGCTAATTAATTTAGCACCGTCTATCCGCCATGTTTACACCTAAAAATCATAATTTTGTGTTAATTTGTGTTGTGTTTTGTGTTTGCAGCATTGAAATTTCAAGAGAATTTATTACGGACTATGATCCAGATTGAAAACACTTTCTTCGAACTTGGAAAAACCTGCAAGCGCAACTGTATGATTATTTGTGATCGTGGTGCTATGGATGCCTCGGCGTTTATCTCCAAGGATAAATGGGAGAAACTTCTCCGGGATAATTCTTGGAATGATGTTGAGCTCAGAGATAATCGATACAATCAGATTATTCATATGGTTTCGGCTGCTAATGGTGCTGAAGAGTTTTACACAACTGAGGTTAGTTTTGTATGACATATAAAAGCGGCCATTTTGAAATTGATTTATTTCTTACTTTAGGATCATTCATGTCGTTCCGAAGGTGTTGAATTGGCAAAAGAACTTGATTACAACGCTGCTGCCGCCTGGATCGGTCATCCATACTTTGATGTCATCGATAACTCGACCGATTTTGACGGTAAAATGCGTCGTATGATCGGTTCGGTTTGTAACAAGATCGGATTGGACACCGGCGATCGCTTGTTGAATACATCTCGCAAGCTGAAGTTTCTTATCAAAGGCCCTCTACCGGAGAACAAGGTGTTTCCACGCTTCCAGGACTTTGAAGTGGTGCATACCTATCTGCAGAGCAACTCGCCCAATCAGGTGCGCTTGCGCAAGCGCGGACAGAAAGGTGAGAATCGAAAAGTATACGCCATCAGATACATCTAAATTGTATGTTTTAAATTAAAACAAGTTGCGATTGTTTGCTCTACATGAGAAAAACAAAATTGAACGATTAACATTCTCTGTTAGTTTCCTACTAATTGCTCTGCAAATTTTATACAGACCTGAAACGCGGTCTCACCTCTTGTCCTCTTCTCGTGCTTGCAGGCTATTTCAGTTACATTCACACTGTGCGCCGGCAGCGCGAACCTGGTGGTCAGATTGTCGAAGTAAAAACGCAGATCACGCATCGTGACTACATCAACCATCTTGCGCAGAAGGATAAGTCACATTTCACCATCTACAAGAAGCGTCGTTGTTTCCTGGTGAACAATCAGTACTTCCAGTTGGATATCTATGAAGAACCAGGGCATCCGAGATGTAAAGGTTTGATTCTTCTTGAGACTTATTCTGCGCTTGATTATGCCGTGGATAAATGGCTGCCGGAGTTTTTGAATATCGAGAAGGAAGTCACTGGAAATCCGGATTATTCCATGTATAATCTGTCACTGCGGGAGGATTGGAAGACGTCGAAAAAATTTTGGAGATCCATACCAGGTATAATCATAATATTATGTTATTTTAATGGATATTATTTAATTTTGTGTTTTTGTTCTCTAGATTCGGAGAGTCCACCAATCTCTGAGCCGCACTTACCTGCCGAGCAGAAAACCAACGGACATCTGTACACCGGCAGCCAGTTGAATTTTAAACTAATTCAACCGACGAATGGTCTGCCGGACATGAAGCAGATGAAGCCGGAAATCTATTAACGTGTAAATCACGCTATGTATTCGACGATTTACTTAATTTTCTTTTGCGGTCGTTTTTATTTTTTAATCGTATTTTATTTTCCTTATTTGATTCTTGAGTAGAGTATGGATTCTTTTGATCTTTACTTGATTACGGTTTATTTTGCTCAAATAATTGTTCGGTTTTTGTTTCTACCGTATGTAAGTACAAGCAAAAAAAAACGTGTATGTGTAAATGTCGTTAGTTTTAATTAAGTTAGTGATAATCTTGATAGTCACGTGGGATGCTAAGTTTGGTTGGAAATTTTGATACACTTTTGGTGCCAATGCAATCCGATTCTAGAATTTTTTCATTGTTGATTCTCTCAGTGCCTGTCGAAACACTTTTGTTGCGCAATCAGGCCAAAAACGCTAAGACCAATCTATTATTAATATGACCGGGATGAAGTGGATGGGTTTTGAAAGGCAGTATTTCTTAAAATGAGTGTATACATATTAGCACCGATACATAGCCACACACACCACATGGTGGTTCTAGTTGAATAGTTAGTCGAAAACTATTTATCAGTCAGAAATTTTAGTGGAAATATACTTGTTAATTGTTAATGAAAGAAGAAAAAAAAACACGCAGATGCAACCTAGTTAGCGTGGCAATATCAAAGACATTAGATTTAGAGAATCGTAGGCAGTAATAATTTGGAATTTTTGAAGTAACGCAAAGAAGCACTCGGTGTTTGTCTCGAATGATTACAATGTGCATCAATGTACATAAATATTGATGCGCATTGTAAAACCAGTGGTTTCGAGTGCTTCACATGAATCGTACCTGGATATATCAGAACACTTGCACAGATATATTGGTGACTTAAGTGGTATTAATAAATTTTTAATGACAAATATGAAAATAAATTTCTATTTTCGTATGATACGCTTATAATAAATTGTACGCGTGCGCGCGCGCGGTGTCTCGATTTTAAACACACTAATCCTTCGAGAACATTTACCTACTAATGAATGTGATTGTCGATGAATAATCGGCATATTGTTTGATATGTTATAACATGATGATTGTGGATTATGTAACCAGCTGGGTTCTCTCGACTTATTGATGAAACAACCAACAACAATTGTATTACTGTAATACTACTACAACTAAAAAAGAAGCAAAAACACTTGTATCGCCTTTTTCTATGGGTATTTTTTGATGACGGAATTCAATTTGAGAGCGTTGAAGATGTATGATATATACGCTGATGTAACATATAAATATTTAAGCATTCGAAACTTGTAAACAGAAAATCATCTCAACTATTTTTGTATAAACTGCAGGCACGAAATTTATTTGTCAGACCTGCGAACGAAGTGTAATCCAGTCAGAAGCAGCAGTCGAACAGTCATAAAATAAAGTATTCTCTATCACTAAACATACAAATGTAATGAAATATGTTATGTTTAGTTATTTAGAGTAAATAGTGATATGATTTTTGTAGTGCGAATTGTTTTATCTCATAAAACATTTAATTTCATGCAAATAACTGCTAAGAATTCGTAAAACATTCAAAAAGCGACAGTTAACCTAACATTTTAGGTATGCAACCCTCTAGAAAGCTTTATTTTCTGTTGGATTCCTTTGAAAAAGATGAAATGCGATCCACAACGATAAAATTTTAATTTTAACTTTTTTAGTCATAGAACTTAAGTTTTTATGTTTAAACACTCATTCTTGATCAACACAAAATGGCGTCAATATAATAGCCACCATTAAACAAAAATATCTGGGTTTTTAAACAAAACACACAAAACTCAACATTAATCGAATTTAATGTGTCTACAAACATTTTAAGTTAAACGTTTCAAAATCTTAGGTACATAATATTTAAGTCTCCTCATTTGCATTGATATTACACCCTAAATCTAAATTACCACTAATTACTGATGATGATTATGATTATTCTTAAGTTTCTGATATTGTTTGATTACTTTCTTTCCAGGCTGCAGTCTCTGTGATAATCCCGGCCGTTTTCTCTTGTTGTTCCCCATAGTTGTACTCAATTCTTCATCTGATATGTTTCCATTCGTTTCTTGTAATCTTGCGTTGTGTTTTCGTTTCGGCCCTGTATTGTCACTCTGACACACCACAGTCTCCTGAATCTGATTCTCTGCAGCCAGTTGTGCTGTGCTCTTTTGCAGATCTGAATCATGTGCATATTTGCAGTTGTGGCCAAACCGACAGCGTCCTTTTCGATAATTCCAGCAGACTTTTTTCCCGTTGATAGTAATGGCCGCTCCGTTATCCACCATCTTTACATGCTTCTCCAGAGCCAATTTCTTGGCTTTTTCAGCCTCAACAAACGGATTTGAGAAGACTGATGTGGTTGGAAGGTAGCCATTGTTGTCTTTTGCTAGGAAGCCTGGTATGGGCAGTTTATCAGCTGATGGTAATGGTGTATCTTGGTTTGGTAAACTGAAATGTTATGCAGCTGAAGGATTTTTAAACACTCTTTAACTAACACTACGCATTCCGAATTTGGGAGATGGTTTAGGCGGACTTAGTTTCAATACATTTTAGTGCTGTATACATTACCTAGTTAAGTTATTGCCTTTCGTTTCTTCTTCATCTTCACTTGAACGCCCTGAACTCTCTGGCGAATCTTTATTTCCATTGAAATTATCAGAATTATTCGAGTTTTCAGAATCTGAATCACCATACGCAGCGACCAACGACATGATTATTAATTGATTGAGGTTAGGAATTGATTTTTAATTTAAAAAATTCATTTGCTTACTGCTTGGCTTATAAATTATAAAACGATAGTACAATGTTGATTGGCATCACCCAAGTTATTTTTAACAATATTAATTTGAAAATGATTCTCTTTAGCTTCCAAAACTAATCTAACATTAGGCAAAGTCTGCCAATACTTCCCACCATAAACTTTATCACCCTCAACAGTCAGTAAACTAGTGATAACAAAACAAATATGATACTCTACAGCCATTAATCTCATAACATTGATTAAACAGTTCAACAACATGTTATGCTTCTCAATTCTTATGCTAGAATATAAAATGGCTGTTAATGAATCAATCACAACTACTCTCACTTTTGTTTTCTTCCTTTCAAGTTTTTGCTTGAGTTCATACATGCCATCAATTAATTGAACAATGTCCTTAACTTGCCCAACGAATAAATTAGCAAATATTTCGTCTTCTTTACCAATACCAAATTGTTTATCACAGATATACTTTAAATATAAAGGATTGAATGTGAATTTTGTGTCATAATACATGAGAGTTTGCTGATTTTTGTGTTTCTCTAAGAAATCAAGCATGAATTTATAAATAAACATTGGTAATTGTTGTGCGGATCGTGTGCAGACTTCATAAATGCTTCCAGTGTAAAAACCTCCACCCAAAATGGCATCTAAACTGTCAAATAAAATTGTTGTTACTTTTATTGTTATTTTATTCATGCTATGATTCATACTTGGAATGATTTGTGGAAATAATTGCTGTTTTTTGAAGCATTTCATAGTAGTAGTCCAATCCGTTACGTGTGACTGCCGCGTTTTTGTTTAAAATGTGTTTTCTGATGACAAGAATCGATTTGAATGGTAGTTTTGTGATTTTGCTCAAAACCTGTGCGTCTTGCTCCAGAAATTGGTAAATCGTGGACACACACTTATCTCTTAAAAGTTTAATCAACTCTTGTGTTAATAACGGATGTACTTCCGTTGTTAACTCAACCATTGTTTAAATTCTTAAATTCTTTAAGGTTATACCGAATACAAACAACTTTTTATTTTTGTTTTCACCGCGCGTAAACGTTAACGTTTCAGTTTTAAATCCGCCGCTTTTTGATTCGTGTGAGATCGAGCACGTTCGAAGCGGAAGGCAAGCGCTTGCATGTACTGCGCAGATGCGGATATGGCTGCGCGCGCAAGCTACTAGGCGGTACGGTGCGGCGCGCGGCACTGGCCATTCGTGTAGAAGCGCCAGTCGCCATGTTTGGATAGGATGAAGCGTCCTTCTCTGCGAACGTGTAAGATGCAACGAACACGAATGTGATTCATTTCGTGCGTCAAGCGTTGCATTCGACGACTGGCCGTCAGTCGACACGATCCGTGGCAGTGTTTTCAAATGTGGATGGGCCACCAGTGCGCCGATATTCGCGGATTTCATGATGGTAAGTTTCCGTTTTTGTTCGCTTTCGATTAGAAAATGGCGTCACCTCATCGGTATGCGCTTCGCTTTGTGCGCCGGGGCGATTTGATTGCGTACGTTGTTTTTCGGTAAATAACCGGCGAATCGACGCCCGGCGTCGAAAAATTAGATTATCACTATTAAATATAATGGCTTCCTGTTATTTTAACGTTTCTTTGCGCTTTTATCTTAGCTACATTGGATAGCGTGCTACCAAATACAGGCGGCGGCGCTGGCGATAGTCAAGCGCCGATAGCCGCATAGCTTTGCGACAACCGATGCGTGGTGCAATATTTAGAAATTATTGTACAATTTCATTTTAGAATAAATAAAGCGCGGCTTTATTTTAGAATTTCTGATATGAGATTGTAGTGATATTTGAAAATTTTAATTTGGCGCCTTTTTATTTTCAAACGTGGAGTAGAAAAAGTTTTGAAGGTGATCTTGAATTTTCCCTCCATTTCGAGCTTGTTTGATTTCAGATGCCTATTATTCGTTTTAAATGGGAAACGATTGACCTTCGACAAATACTTGCAAAGTAGGCGATGAGTGATGAAACACCGGGGGCTGGACAGAGTGCCCTGCCCCGGGAGGGCTTGGCATCCAAGCCGGCGGTGGTTCGTAACGTTCAGATGGCAGGTGGGCAGTACGTCGTCACATCGCAAAGTTCAAACCCTGCGTATATACCTCAGGTAAGTCGTTAAACAGCGCTAAACATCGAAATTAAATTTAACGTTGTATTTTCTTTCATCATTAGTCAGTTGCTGGTTCACAACAAGGCATTCAACGTATTATTAACATAAGTCCAACAAAAGTTAACCAAACAACGCCATTGCGACCCAGTTTGACCAATCAAAGTATTGTTCAAGCCCTTACCAAGACCAGGTCACCAGCCAGCAATGTGCGACTACTGCTTCAAAATGCCAACGACACGACATCAACCCCAGCCCCTCGTACGGCACCCAAGCGATTTCTACCAACTCCGCAAGACAAGAAGGAAACCTACGCCACGAAACTGCAGCGCGTCCTCAATCATCGCAATGTGCGCTCGAAGTACGTTCGTGAGAAGTATAACGAGCACTTGTTGGAGATGTACCACCTGGAGTTGGGAGGCAGCTTGCTGGACTTGTACCAGTTTGCCAAACGACCGAAAACCGCGCAATTTCTCTTGTATATGAAAGAGAATAGTATCGATCCCAAAGATGTCGAAGAGGCCACCACTCCGCCGATTCCGACGGCTACGGCGGCCAGCTCCCTGCCTGGTATGTCAAGCAACACCAGCACGAACACGGCGACTACTTCTGCGATTATGAACTCCTCCACGCCGGTGTCGAGTCCTGTCCCCAGTGCGTCAAAACCGCCACTGGATACAAAGACTCCGACCGTGAAGGTACCCAAACAACCCACGGCACCGACAACGCCCACCAATCCAGAGCAGATTGTTGAAAAGGCAAAGCACGAAGCTTATATCGTGCAGCGCATTACCGATCTGCAGAAGGAGGGTCTCTGGACGGAGAAGCGTTTGCCTAAAGTGCAGGAAATGCCGCGGGTGAAAGCGCATTGGGACTACCTGCTGGAGGAGATGGTATGGCTGGCCGCTGACTTTGCGCAGGAACGCAAGTGGAAGAAGGCGGCGGCGAAGAAATGCGCGCGAATGGTACAGAAGTACTTTCAGGACAAGGCGCAGGCGGCGCAAAAGGCCGAGAAGGCGCACGAGCAGCACATGCGACGCGTTGCCGCCTTCGTCGCTAAAGAGATTAAGAACTTCTGGGGAACGTCGAGAAGTTGGTTGAGTACAAGCAAAACACACGGCTGGAGGAGAAACGCAAACAAGCGCTCGATCAACATCTCAGTTTCATCGTGGACCAGACCGAGAAGTACTCGCAATTACTTGCGGAGGGCATGAATAAGCCGATTGCCGAACAAAATAGCACCTCGAATCCGGCATCGAATGCTAATTCTGATGGTAAGATATTTTCACAGAATTGAATTTTAATGCTCTATATTAATATGATGATTCGATTTAATGAAGGAATAAACATCCATTCAGGTTTTTCCTAGTAATGATTACATCGAGGCATTTGTCTGAAATTTCAACTTAAAGATTACAATAATATTTATTTTGAAATGATATCATTTTAATATCGTTGTTACTTATTTCAGATGAATTTCGTCCAGATATTGACAGTACTGATGATGAGGAGACGATTGCACAAGAGGAGGCTCAAGACGAAGGCGAGAAGAGTGAGGAGATTGCTGCGTTGCAGCGGGAATCGCAAATGGATTTCGATGACTTCTTAAGTGAATTGCCAAAGGACTACCTGATACACAGAGACAAGATTCGACTCAGTGAGTCATCGGAATCTGTAAGTAAACACTTGATTTTTTCTTTCTTTATTTACGTTCGCTTATTTTTAACATGATGACTTAACAATTATGAGGGTATTGTATCCATTCATAACAATACCTATCAGTGAAGACAATGAGGCATTTGTCTGATTATTTCCCTCTTAAATTACACTTAAATCAAAAATTACACGTAAACAGATGATTGATTAATTTTTTTTATTCAGAGCGATTCCAATGAAGCGTCTACGACTGCTTCCACAACTAGTAAAACGAAAAAAGTCATTGACGAGGATTTCACAATGGACTCTAGTGGAGAAGATGACGAGAACACTATACAAGAACAGGAGCAAGCCGAAGGCGAGCAAGATCATCAGGCCGAAATTGACGACTTGAATGATGAGGCAGAGATGGACATTGAGGAATTGCGGCGGAAGTATGCGAACATGCAGTCACCACCACCCGACGAGAGTTCCAATATGACGCCGACCAGTGGCGATGAGGCGGCAACGTCAGATCAAGAGCGCGACGATGATGATGTTTCGGGTGAGAGTGAAAGCGAGGATGAAGTCGATGAGGACAAGATGTCCACGACGTCCGAGAAGGAATCGCGTACGGAAATCGGCCTGAAATCACTCTTGGACGATTCCAAGGAAGGAGAGGAGATCAAGACTGATAACAACGATCTGATTAACGATGCCGCCGCCATCGCCGAGAGTATACAGCCGAAGGGTAATACTCTGTCATCTACAAGTGTAAGTATTTAATCTTTTCTTGATACTTAAATTTTGGTTTAATGATGAGTTCACGGTCTGACGATGTAGATAATCCATTCATAATCTCATCGGTATATGATTAGCTTGAGGCATTTGTCTGATGTATTAAATTTTGCACAATTTTATTTATTATCTTATTTAATTGTTTTCTAATTTAAGTAAATTTTTGTTTAGGTCGTTACACCGATTCCGTTCCTGTTGAAATTCACACTGCGAGAATATCAACACATTGGTCTTGATTGGCTGGTGACGATGTTCGAACGCAAGCTGAATGGCATATTGGCTGATGAGATGGGTTTGGGTAAAACCATCCAGACGATTGCGTTGCTCGCGCACCTTGCTTGCGAGAAAAGCAACTGGGGCCCGCATCTTATAGTCGTACCCACATCGGTAATGCTCAATTGGGAAATGGAGTGCAAGAAGTGGTGTCCTGGCTTCAAGATCCTCACGTACTATGGCTCGCAGAAGGAGCGTAAGCTGAAGCGTACCGGTTGGACGAAGCCTAACGCATTTCACATTTGCATCACCTCGTACAAACTGGTGATTCAAGACCATCAGAGTTTCCGCCGGAAAAGTGGAAATATCTCATCTTGGACGAGGCGCAAAACATTAAGAACTTCAAGTCGCAACGATGGCAACTGTTGTTGAACTTTCAAACACAGCAGAGGTTGTTATTGACTGGTACACCGCTGCAAAATAATCTGATGGAGCTGTGGTCGTTGATGCACTTTCTGATGCCGAATGTGTTTCAATCACATCGGGAGTTCAAGGAGTGGTTTTCGAACCCGGTGACTGGCATGATTGAAGGCAATTCGGAGTATAACGAGAATATCATCAAGCGATTACACAAGGTAAAAATAATTACCAAATATATTGCGTGTTAGTTACAAAATGATGATTCGATTGACTGATGGAATAAACATCCATTCAGGTTTTTCCTAATAGTGATTACATCGAGGCATTTGTCTGACGTATTTTGCTTTCACATTCAGTGTAACACAAAATATCACAAATATTTAACTGTTGCCTATTATTTCAGGTGCTAAGACCGTTTTTACTACGACGGTTAAAATGTGAAGTGGAGAAGCAGATGCCCCAGAAGTTTGAGCACGTCGTCATGTGTCGCTTGTCTAAGCGACAAAGATTTCTCTACGATGACTACATGTCTCGATCGAAGTAAGTTATTTTCTTTAATGTTTTGAAATTTACTTCCTCATCCACTGTGATTGATTGTTTCCGGTCTTTCACAATTTCACGGGAAGAATATTAAAGTTATACTTTTACCAACCGATTTTGTCTGATCAGTGACAAAAATCGGGTGACTTGTATAAAACATTCTTTAAAATTCTTTTAAAAATAGCTAGTTATTAAATATTAATTATCTCTTGTTTCTAGGACGAAGGAAACCCTCTCGACCGGAAACTTGCTCAGCGTTATCAATGTGCTCATGCAACTACGAAAAGTGTGCAACCATCCTAATCTGTTCGAGGCACGCCCGACGATCTCGCCGTTTCACTGCGAGGGAATCGTGCAGCACGTACCGGCTATAGTCTACTCGGCGTTAGATTACGACGTGTGGAAGGTAAGCATGATTGTGTTGTAAATGTCACGCCTTCCGGATCATCCAACTGAGTCTTTATATTCTGTTGGATTTATTTTAAATTTGAAGGCAGAGTAAAAACGTGTTAAAGGTGTGGATGTTGTTTGAATCTAAATAACGCCCTCAATCATAACTCGAACAATATTTCTTTGGTGATGTCATTTTTGTATTAAAAATTAATTTCGTATTTCTTTAATTTTAGAACGTAGACCTCAAAACTATAGGTTTGAATCTACTGCACTTGGAGTTTCACTTTGGTGCTTATCAGTGTTATCGTCAGCGGCAGTTAAAAACTACTAGAAAACTTATCGAAGTAATTTCCACTCGTACTAAGCCACCTTCATGCCCACCGTCGAGATTATGCCTGAAAGTGCATCGAAATCCAGTTAATAAAGCCTCGTCGATAAAAGATGAAGTTAAATCAGCACCGAAAGTGAAACTGATTCAACATCCAGGTGGAATTAAAGGTATTCACTTGAATTTAAATCTTTACTTTTTTACCTTCTGAATATTTCGACTTAATTTACTCATAATTGTTGGAATATTTTATCCATTGAGGGTTAGATTAATGATGAATTACAGGTGTGGAAGTTATTGCTTCATAAATAACATCCTCAATCATAATTCATACAATTTTATTAATTTATGTTTTGTTGGAATGTTGATTTTCTAATATTTCGTATTTTCTTGTTTAGCTGTGCAAATAGCAACTGGATCAACAACCCCAACAACAGGTACCATTAATTTATCCAGTGTTCTAACACCATCCGTACCAAGTTATGCTCAACTCGTGGAAACTCTCACAGGCAAACACATCCTGTTCACGCCCACCTGCAACATCAATACAAACAGCATGGGTATTACGGGCACAACGACTGTAATGACATCAAGCGGACAAAAACTTACTCTGTTGCCCAAACAGTCGATAGCATCCACCACACCGAACAATCAATCATCAGCTATTGCAAAGGCAGTTGTAAAGGTGCAGCTCACATCATTGCCTAACAATGCGGGCTCGCCAATCGCCAAAGACAACATTAATGTTGACGTTACGCCAGCGCGTAAATCGATTGACTCGAAGTTTATTGAACGGCTGTACATGCAGGCGCCGAATAGCAATAAAAGTATTGATGTACGGTATGCGTCAACGTTCAGTCAGAGCGAAGACGAGAAGGATGAGGAAGATGCAGAGACGTGGCAGAGCTATAAGCTGGATCAACTGGCGCGGTTCAATGAGACGCGTTGCTCGGGCGAACCAATTTACGGGATGGATTTGTTAGAGAGTTTGAGGAAATTTGGATCCGCTGTAAGTGCGAATAATTCATGGAGCAATGGCAGGCGAGTGTGTCATGAAGTGCAGTATGGTCTGAATGAACGACAAACGTCGGATACGTTGAAGGAAATCATCTACACACCGACAAAACTTATAGAACAACTTAACTATATATTTGACAGGTATGTGTAACTTTGTTATTTTTTTTTATTCTTCATTCCTTTCTCATCCAATGTAGTTGATGACTTCCAAGTCTTCTACAATTTCAAAGAAAGGAGATCGAAAGGATACTTTTACCAACCGATTTTGACTAGTCAGTGCCAAAATTGGGTGACTTGTATCAAACATTTTATTTAATCTTTTATCATTTTATTTTGCTGTTGCACATTGAGCAATTCTTAAGATAATTTTTCATTTGCAGATTTATTGTTTACGTGCCTTCTGCCTACGCGCCTGAACCCGAGCTGCAAGTGTGGAATCCTAACCCAAGCACGTACTGGGGCCGAATACAGGAGCGCAAGCAGTTTGCGCTGCAGCTGAGCGAACCTACCGAGCCGCTGCATCACATTGCGTCCAGCATGATAACACAGTTTCCGCATCCGCGTCTCATACAGTATGACTGTGGCAAATTGCAGACGCTCGACCGGCTGCTGCGACGACTCAAGTACGGTTCGCATCGCGTGCTCATTTTCACGCAGATGACAAAGATGCTGGACGTGCTGGAAGCGTTCTTGAATTTCCACGGACATATCTACTTGCGACTTGATGGATCGACACGAATCGATCAACGACAGGTTAGTTGTCAAAGCAAAATAAATACGAACCATTTCTATTCACGCATTGACGATCAGTAAGCTGTAGACTTCGGTTATTACTCTTACTTTTGCATCAATGCAAGATTATTTGTAACTGGGATGTCAGCAGGCTTTTATGTTCTACTATTAAAAGTCCTCTAGAACTCCGCAGACATTTCTTTTATTTTAAATCATTAGTTTAAATTTGGATGTTTGAAACTTTTTAAAATAATAAATCATGGCTTTGTTTATAGATACTCATGGAGCGTTTCAATGGAGATCCGAAAATCTTCGCGTTTATCCTTTCGACACGCTCTGGTGGCGTTGGTGTGAATTTGACGGGCGCAGACACTGTGATATTTTACGATTCCGACTGGAATCCGACCATGGACGCGCAGGCACAAGATAGGTGTCATCGAATCGGGCAGACACGAGATGTGCACATCTATCGCCTGGTCAGCGAGATGACCATCGAGGAAAACATCCTCAAGAAAGCCAATCAGAAGCGATTATTGGGTGATCTTGCTATTGAGGGTGGCAACTTTACTACTGCATACTTCAAGAGCGTGAGTGTTAATTATTATTTTATTCACTGCCAAGTCCCTAATGAATTGTTTATAACTCAACTTGCATGTTGTTTTGTTTATTCTAAGGGAAATAATAAATTGAGTTACGGGTGTGGTCAAAGTGTCTAAAATCTTATGGTCCTCAATGTTAATTCAAACATTACTTTGAATGAAGATGATTTAGTGTTGGGATTGTTTATTATTGTTATATTAATGTTTGTAATTTATTTTGCAGACAACAATTCAAGATCTATTCAGTATTGATCAGAGCGAACAATCAGCGGCGACACGTATGTCTGATGTCATTGCAAGTAGTCGCGAGCGTGAAAAACACGCTGAGGAGACGTCTGTATCAGCATCGGACGAGAAGTCTGCGATGGGTGCATTGGAGAGTGCTCTAGCCGCTGCCGAGGATGACCAAGACGTCATTGCTGCCTGTACAGCAAAGGCGGAAGCTGTAGCTGAACTAGCAGAGTTTGACGAAAACATCCCTCTTGAAGATAAGGAAGACAAAGAAAAAGAGCCAGAAATCAGCAAGGCAGAGCAAGAAGTTGTCAATCTCATCAAACAAGTAAGTTTTTTTTTTGCATTTTTATTGAAGAATTATTTCTATTAATATTTTTGTTTTGCCAGTTAACGCCTATCGAGAGGTACGCAATGCGATTCATCGAAGAGACCGAATCCGCTTGGTCAGTCGAACAACTTGCAGCCGCCGAACGCGAAATTGAAGAGAAGAAGCGTGAGTGGGAAGAGAACCGCATAGCGACAATGCGCGAGGAGGAGGAGCGTCGGGCGCGCGAGCTAGAGGAAGAGAGCGAGCTTCTCACGTTTAGCCGCGAGGACGCAACGAATCAGGTCAGCAAAAACCAAAAACTAAATAATAAACCGCCTCGCGAACGCAAAGCTTCTAAAGCAACGGTACCGACGCTGGATACGTCGAATAATAAGCCAACTCGTGGCAGTAACGCAACAAATCGTGTAGTAAATAACGCTGATCGACGTTTAACGCGTTCACACCCGCGCATCTCTCATACAAGTCCCGAGCCTCCCGAGGAGGAGGCGGTGAACGGTAGTAAATCACCGCACACTGCCAAATCCGAGTCGGAGGACGACTCTTCTGACTTGGAAGACTCACAGCCTCTTATCCAAATTCAGAAAGCAGTTAGTCCTAAGATCAATAAGTTAGATCATAATTCTCCTCGTACGCGATCGCGTGGTACGGTCGCAATCGATCTGTGGACGCTGGACGTGAGTCCAATTCTACCCGGTGTCAAGCCGACGAAGCGCTCCACTCCGCACATTCGGCGCACAAACTCAAACGAAACACTCAACGCGAACGACAAGCAGGAAAAGGAAAACATGCAGGTCGGTCGCGGTAAAAGTGGCAAACCGTCTGTCCATGGCGGCAGGCGTTTGCGCAAGCGTCGCCGTTTTAATCGCGCACGTGCTAAAATTAATAAAGACAGTCTTGCGCCCAACGATAGCAAGAGCAATTGCACCGACGAGGATTGCAAAATGTCGGTGGATAGCTCGATGTGTTCGGACGATGATAGGAATCAAATTAAGTCTAGCGACGAAGAGAAGACTGATAGTATCCATGAAAACATTGTGAATAGTACCAAATTAAATAATGTGACGGAGCTCGCGTCTGTTACCAGTGAGGACGCGAACTGCACGCCCGAGTGCGACACATCCGTAGATCTAGCAAATGAGACGAATCACAATGAGAACGATGTAGGCCATTCAAATAATCACGACGAATCGGCAAATGACGAAAACAGTCGCGATCTCACTAATAATACAGCTTTAGACGACGACGATGACGAGAATTCGCTGTTGTCGCCGGATAGGAGTCGAAAGAAGCGACGCGTTGCGCCCAAGTTTAACAAATTCAATAATTGTGTGAATACGTTAGACGGCTGGCTGAAAAAGACTGTCAATGATGAGGAACTTGCTGATAGTGTATGTGATCAAGCGATCAAATCGGAGTAGTAGTAAACGAGTCGTCACAAGAACCGCCCAAATGATGCTTGTGATTCGTTGATTTTAATCTTTCTACGCTTAGTAAACGACGAGTTTCGAAGGAACTCTGTGTCTCGTTCCTCATACACACTTGTACATAGTAAAAGTAACAAAATAGAGTTAATTTTTTTATCGATTCATCTAATTTTATGTACAGAATGTAAATTATTCCAGCATGAATGTGAGTTTTTGCGTATACTATTTTTACTAGTTTCAATGATGCGTCTCGCTACATCATATTTTTTTCACAATTACGAGAATATCTCACATATATACATACAAGAATGCCGAATCACATTCCAAAAATGAAGCTATATTATGTGTCTGCGCTCGAATGTTCAGCCGACCACCGAATTGATTTTTACCGATGGTGTAAAATATTTAAACAAACACGTTGTCTCGTAAACGAATTCTCTCTCTCTCTTTAACACTACCAGTGATTATTTCTGTTCTGTTGTATGTTTAAGCCATGTACATAGTTATTTTAATGGATAATTATTATATTTAGCAGATAAATAAAGAAGTTCTCTTGCAAACTGTGTGCTGGTCGTCGTTTTATTTATGTGAAACTGGCAGATGGTACGGAACGCGTGCGCGGGGTGGGCGGAGGTTTTGGTGCCAACTTGCTCCGGCGTGCCGCAGCGGGCACCAAAACTCGCCCCGCTGGACACGAACCGGACACAGAGCAAGGGGGCTTCTTTAAGCGTCTGAGCGGCACTCGCAAAACCCTCGACCTACCCCGCGACCGGCAGAAACGCGTTCCATGATCAATTTGCGATTATCCTTTCCCATTCGGCACATCCTTTTTTCCCCGGCGCCAATTCACACCTTTCATCCGCAGTGCGGCTCGCTTTCAGCAAAGTTAACTGACTTGTTTTTACAATGACTCTCGCGTTGGTTACAGATTTGGGTATCGCAAAACTCGAGCGAACAGATGCCGGTAAGTGTAGAAATAATACTGAATTCGCACATCTCTCTTCTCTGGTTGGCCGTATGGTGCTGAATGTTATGAACTTTGTTTAGATGTGGTGTCCGCCGACTCCACCACAGCAGGATGATGACGTGTACATTGATCATACGGTGGCGTTTCTCTACGATACCAGCAATGTCATGCTGGAAACGCAGTTGCCCAATGTCTACATTCGAAAGGAGACGAAACGCACTCGTGTGGATGCTGGTTTGGTGGATAGTCGACGGCCGACGAAGGTGCATAAGCGCGAGGATATTATGCAACCACCCAAGTCTATATTCAACACATCGCTTGCGGTGAAGATGCGTAGGGATGCACGCATTCAGAAATTCCGTGGACTTATGCGACCGCAAATGGCGCCCATGGGTCCGGGGGTGAAATACCCCGGGATTAAACCGCATGTGGAGCCACCCGGACACAATTGGACGATTCATGAAGATGCCGCCATCTTGAAAGTTATACAATCGTATCAGGGACTTAGTCTTAGCTTGGCTATTACTCACGCTGGGCACACACCGAATTGGGACTTTGTTGCTGATTTTGTAAACACTGTCTCGAACACTTATAGATCTCCGAAACAATGCCGTAATCGTTATGAGAGTATATTAGTTCCGCGTGAGGAAGGCAAGCAAATTATCGATACATCTCCTAAGAAGAAAAAGCAGAAGAGCGCTATGAACAGTGGCATGATGTTCAAGTTCCAGGTGCAACCGAAAGCAAACAGACCCACTTCGCAGTTGTATATTCAAGACAATAATAGCACGTTTACCACGCTAATGACGCAGAGATACGATGCGCTTAAGCTGATCACACCAACTAAAAAAGTACCACCAAAAGCAACGCCTACCGTTGCTTCCATTGCTTTGAAAAATCCGAAACATGAGGGTATTTTAATTGAGCATGGAATTGATTTGGATCATCCGATGAGCGCGGTGGATATTGCCAGCAAACGTGCTGAGCGTAATCGTGACAAGAAGCCGCCTGATCAATTGCTTATGCAGAAGCAGTTGCAGTTGATACGCCAACAGGTGCAAGCGCAAGCTGCATCAGCGGCTCAGGCTGGTAACTCGCCCAATTCAACACCCAGTACATCGCAAGTGGTCATCCAGCAGCAACAACAACAGCAGCAGGTTCAAACTGTTTCACAGACAATACAGGTTACTACAGTGCCGACGATTGTCAGCGCGGTTCAGACCTCTACTCCGAATACGCCTCCACCTAATGCAGCTAGGATGCAGAGAATTGTCGCAGCATCCACTCTGCAAAACCAATCAGTTGTTTCATTGCCAGGTATTAGTGCAGGTCAACTGCAAGCGCAGCGATTGATTGTTTCCAGTACTGCTGGACAGTCGAAAGCAACGTTGGTTGGTACCGGTACGATGACTGCTAAGGCTTTGAGTCCGGCCCAGCTTATGATGTTGCGCAATGCGACGCTCAAGCAACAAACGCAGCATATGCGTCTGCAGACGGCTGGGATAACTCAACAAGCGTTAAAAACCACCACTGTGGTGAACTTGCCGGGTCAAACAGCCGTTGTGCAATTCACACAGGCGCAACCACGTGCACATATTATCAAGAGCGGAACAGTGGCGGTGGCCAACAATAAAGTGACGCGTACACTGACTGAAAGTGAAGTTGCCCACTTTTTGAAACTGAAGAGTCAGAATCAGAAACTCGCTGGGCAGGCGACAACGCTTGCGAATCAACAGGTATTTACGCAAACCTTACAGGCGGGACCTTCTGGGACTCAGGTGGCCACGATTGTTAAAAGTGTTTCTACTTCTGGAGGTAATTTTAACATTTTTATGAATTAAAAGCAGTTTTTTTTATATTTGTTTTGTTTTAATGTTCAGTGACACCAGCAATGATTGGAACTCAGGTGAAGACGCTGCCTACGGGCCTGAAAACGCAGGCGACACAGGCGCAAATTCGACAAATGCAAATCCAGCAATTGATGCAAAAGAAACTGTTGCATCAGCAGAAAGTTGCTGGTGTGACTCAAGTTACGGGTAAAGGTGGCGTCGCCACTCAGCTCATCGTCGGCAACAAGCCGCTTGCCACGGCGATGACGATGCAACAATTTCAGCAGGTGATACGTTCACCGCTCGCGGTTCCTCCGGTGGTGTTGGCGGCGTCGAAAACTACTTCACGCATGATTCCTGTCAATGCCGGCCAGGGCACTAAACCTACTATTCAAGTAAGTTACATGAAATTAAAACAAAATATTTTTATTAAATAAATGCACTTCTAGGTTGTTACATCTCCGTCACCTGGCTTAACTACGACAATACGCCCGCAAACGTCATCGACCTTAACAGCGGCGACGTTGGCGGGTATCAAGGTGGCGAATGCCGCCGGCGCTAGCCACTCGCAGCAGCAGGCGATACTCTCGCATGTATCCGCTGTGCTGGGGCAGAACGTGCGCCAAAGCTCCCCGGTGCGCCTCCAGACTGCCGGTACCGTCACCGTGCAGCAATCCACTAGTCCGAGCCTGCAGCCTGGGGCGGGCGACAAGCCCAACGATAACGTGAGTAGATTCGTTAAGAAACCGTGAAGTGAATGAACTTTTGTTTTCGATCCTGCTTGAATTGTCGATGTATTTTTCAAGTTATTTCCGTTCAGTATTACCAGATAAGCAAAGCTCTTCCAAACCGATAAACGAAAAAAAAAACACTAAATGAAATTAGAGGAAAAAAAATAATGTTTTCATTTATCATCATCCACCGGCTGACCCGCAATTGTTTGGTGTGCGTTTATGTTTGTTGTTCACAAGCTGTACGTGTCTACATGCCCAACATTTCATTATTGTTTAATTTTATAATCTTAACGTTTAAGTTCTGCTGTGATAAAATTTCGTTCGTAGAGTTATTTAGATGATCATGGCTTCACTCTCTTTTTAGTTCACTGTATATAGTCGATATTTTTATACGGATTGTATATACATAGAGTACCTCCTAGCCTAGTAGTGTACAGAGGCGGTTGTCGCGGATCAAAAACATTTTCGTTTGCTTTCAGGCGGTTTGAATGCCAGAGGATGTGCACTGTGTGCGTGATTCGGCATGCGAATTTCATTCACGCACTCGTCATTAAACAAAAAAAGTATAAATGCGCTAGAATAATTTAATTACAAAGTTAACTCTAATAAAATATTGTGATGTAAATTTTTTTTGTAATAAATAATTTAAAAACTGCATTCTTTGGGATTTGTTTTTCTGAAAACAATATCAAAATTGTCTTGTTTTAGATGCGTCTAATTCAGGTGTATGTTTGGTTGCGTGTAATGTGCGACATGTGTTTAGTTTTAGAATTTAGATAATAGATGTCGCGTGTGTAAGAACACAGGTAATAAATCCTTGACAGCTGGTCGGCCCATCATTGTGCGATTCGGACGCAAAGAAGTCAGTTTTCGCGTCGCAGCGCTAGCGGCAGGTTGTTTCGCGCGTGCTATCGCCACTTGCCCACATGTAGGACGTACAATCCGGTCGTGTTCGCCGATCCTCAACTGTGCGCGCCGCAATAAATGAAACAATCAGCGGAGGTGCGTTCTGCAATCGACGCTGCTGCCGTACGCCGAAGACACGTCGGTCCTCTGCCAAGGTAAGTGCACGCATCTTACTATCACTATCTCGCGAGTCTGTCATCACATGCACGTCGGCGTCTTATGTAAACATTTGTTGATTTCTTTCCTGTGCGCAACTGAACAAACGTTGTTTGCTGAATGTCGTGTGTCGATGTGATGCCGTTAGCGCGCGCCGGCGGGCAAGGGCACCAAACGCAGGAAAAGGTCATTGCTCATGTAAATGAAGAACGATCGACGCAGGTATAGAAGAGTCCTAACGCGTTTGTTAATTAGTTGGTTCGAAATTTAATTCTATTAGTCTACTACCGTTACCACTGGGCCGACGCGCCGGCCGAAAATTGACGCGTCGTTAGCAACGATATTAGCGCACAATTTCGGCGAGGTTATCTGCGCGCGTTTGACTAACTAATAACTTGAATGTTGAAGTTGTGTGTGTGTGTGGATATGTATGCATGTCGTCGATGTGGTTCTCTTCGCATGCGAGGATTCGATTTACACGTATGTGCACTTCAATTATCCTAATCGAATAATCAGCTCACTCGGATTCGGCCAGTCATCGCCGCCGCCGCGCGCGTGGCCTTATTTAATTCAACTATCCTAAGCAATCTGACATCTACAGAGACTAAGCGGTCGGCTGGATGCTGGAAGCTGGAATTCCATTAGTGGCGTTTCGACAAGTTGCACACACACATGCAAAAGGATTAATCTCCGCGATGTTGCGATTGCGACACTTCGTTTGTATTCAGCGTTCGCACAATTCACAACAGAATTGCATTAAAAATAAAATTTTCAGTTGAAAATTTTTGTTTTTTTTATGAATTTTGAAGTGAAATATCAAAACGATTAATCTCTGCGCGCGCCTCGCGTTGCAATTCATTCAAATAAGTCGCATTGTAATCCCATGCCGCTTGATTAATTGCTTAATCCATTGTAACATTTGTCACCTCGCGCCGGCGTAGGTACCGAAAACGAAATTGAAAGGTAATTGACATTTGGGAGCTTGACGCCGCGTTCCTGCTCTCGCGCGGATGGCAGCAAATCCCGCCATCGGGATTTCGCGCACGTCGCTGCGCAGTTTTAAGTTTTAATCTGATTTTAACAATTTAACGTCTGACGATTTCAAGCGTGAATTAATTAGTTTGTTGATTTGTTTTAGCCGTCATAACTCTGCGCGCGCGCGCAGCTGCGCTGCGAATTATATTGCGATTTAATTGTTCGTTAATTGCCAAAGATGTTGGTACACAACTTTGGATTAAAATGATTTAGATTGGAGTTTGGGGAATGTTTAGCCGTCTTAAACTTGATATTATGTATAAAGTTTATTTGTTTGCGCCGAGAATATTGAATATTCTCACAAATTTGTTTCGTTTCGTTAATAAAGAGATAAAATGGCGATGATGTATTTTCTTACATCTTTAATGAACTTTTTTCTCTTGCGCATAATAAAAATGATAAAAAAATCTGCCGACAGAGATAAATACAAACGATGTACGTGCGTGTGTTGTTCATCCAGAGCGCTAGTTAATCTCTGCGGGAGGCGAGTTGTTTGTACTCATCGGCGCGCACACAATGCTCCGCAAAGTGCGTATTCTTCTTCGGCGGCGGCGGCGGAGGCGGGAGTTGTAGCTTGCGAAGAAAGGGAAATGGAAAAAGGGTCTTAATGAATTTTTTATGACACATAACGACCGACGGACTAATAAAAGATTCATTCTTCTTTTATTTCTTGTGCGCGGCCATTTAATTGCGTTTTTTTCTATTTATATTACAAAAAATAAAAAATAAAGCGCGCTGAGCACAACAAGTTATTGATTGATGGCGTTGGTGCGAAGTTGGCGCGGAATTTGGCGTTTGTGGGCATTATGGCATTAGTTGCGAGATTGCGAGGAAAGAATTTAAGGATGTCGATGTTCGTCGAAATCGCGTTACTTATTCATGAGGAATTTATCATTCGCGCCAAGTGGAAAATAAGTAATGCGAGCGCACACTGCAATGCACGGGGCCGTTTGGGAATTCAGCTGGCGCGCGCGGGCAGGCGCCATGTATTATACATAAATTGCGGTTTTATAAACGCAATAGTAATGTGCGACTGCGCCGATGTGTAAATAAGACGTCCAGAGAGGTGTGGCGGGCGGCACCAACGGCATCGACTGCCACTTGATTTATATTTGCTTGTAAAATGCATCAGGGCGCCAACAATGCGGCGACAACTTTGCTTAAGTTGTGCGAAACTTTTTTTCGTGTTCAATGAATTGGGAAATATTTACATATAAAAACAAATTGGGTTTGGCAGAAGTGATTTAGAAGAGTTTACGAGCATAGAAGTGGGTGGTGGTATGCTTTATATGAAAACCAAAAGAGTAGAGGAAGAAGAATATGACTAAAATTGTTCTGTTAGACAACTTGGGCACGACGGAGCCTTTAGTATGTATGTGCGACCCGCTAAAAGTGGTAGGGGTAAACGTACTGTCACTTAATGAGCCTGCCCTTTTTCATTTCGTTTCATGTCCTCAAAAGGTGCTTATATTAATTATAAAAATAAAAATTTAACATTGGTGACATTTTCCATGTAAGCTGATAAAGCTAATTTACGATATTGTTGATCTTTTCCTTTCTAAACTTTTGCAAGGCCTAAACACACTTTTTTTTACACCAACTTAACCCTACGATAATATTCATCGAAGGTTCCCCTATAATCAAATGAAAGCGTTTTAATAATTTAATCGTTAATTTGGAAAGTTTCCTATGATATAACCAATTATAACCAGTAAATAATTTGTTCCGTTTACTTTTTTTCCTTCCCCTTTCGGATTGTGTAGCGCGCGTGTAAATTTGTGTGAAATTCCGGAAATTATACTCGCAAGTCGCAAGCTCATGGCTAATATACGAAATAATGAATGAGCCGTAGAATATGTAAATGCGTATCGCTGCTGAGAAGAGATCCGTGCGCGGGCGTGTGTTGGTGTCTTGCTGTGCGCGAGAAAGAAGCGTGCGAAAAATTCGCTTTACTTTCACTTTTTTCGCTCCAACTGCGCGCACGGCGTACCGAGCCGCTCGTTTTGCTTTCCGCGCGTTTGTAGGAGGTTTGTGTGTGAGGCTAAACTCACCTTCGAAGCGACTGCTGTGATATTGATTGAAACTGGAGCGTGTTTCAGGTGGTGCAATCGAGCGCGCGCGTTGCCTTTTATGCCTCTCCAATTTTAAAGATTATGTCATTAAATCGCCTCGAATTTATGGATCGCTTATAGCTCGGAACTTTTTTTACTTCTCCGTCTCTTCGTTTGCGCGGGACTCGTAAATTCCGAGCCCAGAGCGATGTAAACGCGTAAAACACGAATACGCAGTGGAAGAAATTTAAACTTTTCGATTATCGTTTCTTTTATTGCAAGAGTTGTGCGAAAGTATTTTTATTACTGCATTATTTTGATTGTTAAACACCGAAATACGAAAATAATTGTTGTTTAAATTTTGTAAATTCACTGCTATTGCAGTGGGCACAGGCAATAAAACTCTTTTTATTATGTATTGATTGATATTAACTGTCAAAATACTCGGCGGGTTATAACCAGCACTAAATTATTCATTGTTCATAATTGGAATGCAAATTTGTAATACCGGTGAGGAATTAAATTTTGCAATTGGAATGCAATTTCAAACTATTCCAGAGTGATTAAATCTTGTTCCATATTAATAAATTTTAATCTAGTTAATGTAGAAAATGTTTACCGCGCCGAAAAATAAATAAAGCATCTCTATTTATAGCGGCTGCAGATTTTGTACCGCTGCGTCAGCATATTATTATGATTATTGTAGTAATATGTGTGCGCGCAACGCGGCGCGCGATATTGTATCGAGTATATCGAATGGCGGCGCTCATTAATTCCGGCTGGCACGCCGCCGACGGCCCATTCAACGCATTAACAATAGATCCCGGCGGCCAGATTGACATTCAATTAAACATTGCGCGCGCGCGCGCGTACGCATGCTGGTCAACATTAGCTGGATCTGTTGCTCTGCGTGTGTAATGAGGCGCATTAAACAATATGCTTTTAGCAACGTTGTGAAATGTGAACAAAGCTGCTTTAATGAAGATTTAATTAAGCTGTCAGCACGGGAGCTCCGCCTATGTGTTTGACCACGCATGCGTGCCACTATAGGCAGCCGATAGTGCATTAAAAGTGGAGTTTAAGCAAAACAGAAGCTGTTTTTTTTTTTAAATTTATGCATGGATATTGATTGTGTACACACGCACCACATGCGGCGTTGTTTTAGTTTGTTTTTGTCGGCGTGGTTATTGAAGCACTAAACATGAAATATAAGCGCGTCATTTTGCCGGATGTCCGTAAAAATACGCTGATGACAACCCGGAGTATTTTATCTTGAGAGCTCGGCGGCCCCGTTTTCTTGGGCTGTGTGCCCGCTGCCGTAATATAAATTTATCAACTTCCCAAAAAGTACATCAGCGTATATTTATAGTGCAAAGTTAGAAGTGTTGACATTGCATTACACTTTCTTGTCGGCGGCATATTATGCCATCAAAAAACTTTTATATAGCAAAATTGCTATTCGTATTCAGGAAAAATTCGAATAATAGTTTTTTTTTGCAATCAATTAGTAAACACACCAAATCGACATGTGCAATTATTAATTTATTGAGTTCGGATGCAATTTATATTTTATTGTATTTGAATTTTATTTTCACATGCCAAAAATTTTATCTGAATTTTTTATATAAAAATAGTTTAAATGAATGGCCCCGTTTAATAAATGAATTCACAAAACAAAGACAAGCAGTCATGCATAATTCCACTCGCTGAGTCGAGCAGAGTTGTGTTGACTGTCGTACTGCAAATATGTTTTGTTGCTCATAATCAGCGTCATCTCAACATCTGCACAATGACATGCGGACATTACTCACGTGCACATACAACGCAATATATTCCACACGCGCGCGCGCTTCATAATGTCGCATCATTTGATGTGGCCCGCAACGAAACGAATTTAAAACACGTAACGACTG